CAGTCACCCTAAAAAAAAGTCGTTCACAGCTGGCATGATGTCATCTTTCCACGGAAAATAACTGAATATTTTTGGATTCTGGTTGAATCCAAGTCTCATCCATTGTTCAATAAAATTGAACCATATGTTAGTCCCGAAATGACCTAGTTTATGTCGAGTGGACGTTAAACCCCATCTCTCTCCCTCTCTCTCTCTCTCAATCGGTTGACAGTAAACTGAGGTAAACGCAATTTAAGCTGCATTCGATGGTATAATGCAAGTATTTTGTGCGTAAATACCATGTTCTGTAAGCAAAAGCCTTTCAGCTATAATATATGACCTCAGCGGTAATAGAAAGATATTTAAATTACTATAGAGTGTAGAAACCTGGAATATAATCAAAATGAAATTGTAATCTCGTTTTGATTAGTTTGTCCATGAAACGTAAACTGTGGACTAACATTTACGGCATTAAGTAAACCCGTTAGAGTCTCCCATCGTCATTTGAAGGATTTTTAATCTGTTGCAAATTAATGCTAGGTTCCCACTGCCGTGCAATGCGTTACGATAGGATTGTCCTTATGGAGTCCACGATCTGGTACGTACAGATAGGTTCGGATATGTGTCGATACGATCAACACAATTGCTACGACTGACCTCAATAAATATATAAGTCCTGATAGGATCACTACGATTACTCCGCTATTAAAGCCTTAATTTCAATCGTAGCACGAATCGTGATAGTGGGAACCCAGCAAAAACTATTATGACAGCTGAATCTCTTAAGAGGAAATCCATTCTGTCCAAAAGTGGTTTAATTCCGTTCATTATTTGCAAAGATATTGTAAATTTAAAATTTATCAACAATTGACACCCTCTGCAGAAGACATAATGGGATATGGTCACAACAAGCCAGCGCTACATCTTACCATCAATAAAATCATTGATCGGCCTCTTTTTAATCCGACTGATATTTTGACTCTCAATCAAATATTATATAATAAATTTGTGTTTGCTTATAGGTGGAATAAGCCGTGGAAAATCGGATAAATCCGTAAGAGGGATCAACTAGTGTAGATTCCTGACGATTTGGATACACCAGATGATCCAGACTGGCAGAGTCTACACCAGATATTAAGTTTGGACAACATTAAATGAAATCAGCTGAACTGTAGGATTTCCTATTAGCCTGTACCAGCCATGGTTGTTTGGACTTGGTTTTACGATTTTTCCGCCTCTATTTTTGAAATCAACATAATTACATTAAAAGTCTACTTAAAGATACATTATGTAAGATTTATATAAAGAGCTGACCGTTCTTGCTATAATGGTTCAAAAATCATTAATATTAAATGAATATTTTGAAAATTGTATTCAAATTGCTTTATTCTAAGCCAAGTTATCACTGTTTGTAGTTATGATGTGTGCATTGATTGTTTATTGTCGTAACCAGAGTACTGGTTCATTCGAAACTTAGCCTTGCTTCTCCATTTTTAAATTTTATCATTTAATGACCGGACCGTTCTAATCCAGTTAGAATCTCGAGCCTTATGGTCTTGTTATGTTAAAAAATGTCTAATTAATAATTTATATAACATTTAATACCTAAAGAAAGACCTCCAATACGCAGATTTATTTCTTGAATAATATATCTTTAATAATCAGTTTTTGTCTTGCTTTGCTGGTTCAGTGTTTCCTCGAGGCAGTCCAGAAAGATTGAATATCTTCCAGGACGTAAAAGAGCTAACATACCGGATCTTTTTGTATACTTTCACAGGTGGTCATAATTATACAGATATGTTTTCACTTCAAACAACATGAACTTCATAAATGTTTTCTTTTAATTCAGACTGAAAAATATTTTAATAAAACGCATTTATTATACACGCCAACGCGAAATATTTATGGTGTTATGAGCCAAAAACTAATATCCGTTGTCTTAGCTCTAAATAAATTGTGTCTTTTAACTAATGGTTTTCACGCTAATACTTGTACCTAATAATAGAATTTATAGACTATAGAAACAAAACAATAAACTTGGGGTAAGGATTCTTTCCTGTGGCAGATCATGTTGTACGTATTAAGTAGCACAATAAAATTATGGAAATTGTTTTCCTTTCCCTTCTTCCGCTGTTTCTTTACCTACGCTTATTACAAATAGCCCAAAACATTGTAGTTGTTGACGATGAATAATAATTAACTATTATATTTTGGGAGGTTCTTTAAATTCAATTTGAGTTTGAAAATTGATTTTCTTGTCATTAGAAATATCAGATTTTCAGAATGGAAAAGGTTTTATTTTTATATTTGACTAAACATATCTTTAATTCATTAAGGTAGGTGACTGGGTCGGGCCTCAGTTCCAAATAAGGTATTCTTTTTTTTAAGTAGCGGTGAATAATTGTCACTAACGTGCGATTTAAAACAAGATTCTGTTCATATTTTATAGCGTAAATGGGATTTACGGGGTCTCTGAAACGTCCATTAAATTTTCTAAATTAACGTTAAAGCAACTGGGCCCTGTTTCTCGAAATCTTAACTAAAGATAAAATCCAAATTTTAGTAGATACTTCAATTTTGATTGGCTAAGCACTAAAATCAATCTAATATTATCCAATAAAATTACTCAAATTTGGATTTTATCTTAGTTAAAATTTCGTGAAACAGGCCCCTGATCTAAAAAAGCGGGATATAGGTCTACCTTCATATTTGTATGCCAGGAACGGCTGAAATAAATGTGTCGAGATTGGTGGAAAAGATATTTTTTGATATTCTCCCATAGATTGCCCCTCTTGGGCGATCATCACTGATAAAAAAAAAAATTAGTGGATATAAAAGGGAAATGTGCAGAACATTATTCCATCCCGAAAAATGAAGTGTCCGAAATCCGGGACTTTTACTGACCATTTTGCGGGGTGGTGCAATTTTCAATCGGAGTTCCGAGTTTCAGAAAATCACATAATTCTGATTCGGGGTGTATAGTTGTCAAACTTAAACTGCAGTAATTGTAGAAAATTCGCTCCGCTACTTGCCGTTAATTTTCGAGATGTTACTACGGTTATTTTGTGGTAAAATCATGTAGGTTCATTTTTCGGGCAAAAATGATATTCTCCCTGCCCCACAAGGACAATAGACCCGTATACGCCTATGTAATCTCTGCAATAGGGTCCCCGTCCTCAGACCTTAGTTTTTAGTCTCTTCATTTTTGGGTAAATTACGGAAATTAACTTTCCTGAAGTATAGTGTATGTCACGTGGTTATTTATCTTTTGACTACTCGAAATTTGAACACCGTGTTACAAACGTATAACATTCCCAACTCAACAGGACACCCTCGCCAACCTGGTACTACGGTTATTTGAGACTAAGATTTTAGGGTGTCGGAACGCGGCGTGGCTTTTTAAATTCAAAATTCCGATTGCCAATTGATATTTTTCGTGGCTTAATGTTCCGTAACAGTGTAACGACTATACAGTTTCCTTGTTAGCAGCACCACAAACGTTATCCCCAACAATTCGAAAAGCTGGGATTGACACGATCTCCCAGCCGATTTAAAAAAAAAACCCAGATAACCAGATACATACATTTATATGGTATATATAATGTAGAAGCGTTTGCTTGAAGTGACTATTTACATTATTGTTGATTCCTATATTTAACAAATTGACAAGGTTTGCTACAATCAGAACACAATTTTGGTGATGATGAAGAGATAGTCGAACTCTATATCAACACAAGGAACCGTGTGCAGGGATTCTGACAATGAAATAGATGACTTGCATACAACCCCGGATTAACCACGGGGCACAGTGGGGCACAGTGGGGCACAGTGGAACCCAGTCTCCACCACCCCCCCCCCCCCCCGCCCCCCCAAAGAAAATCTCATTTGCGCAAAAGGCAGTGGTAGCGACGGGGTCCTCCATCGGATTTTGAAAAGTCCTGGACTATGTCGTAACGTTACGGACTTCGGGGATATGGCATCAAGGTCTACCCGTTATACATCACTGACCAACTTTAAATTAGGTTGGATGAAGTTACATTCATATGTAGAATAATACTGCCTAAGTTCTGAAATCAACGAGATAAATATAGTTGTTTGGGGGGGGGGGCGGGGGGTGAATTTTGCTAAATCTAATTGTTACACTTAAAATGTTTGTAACGGCACGGCATTTCAAATACTTTTATTTTTGAATGTTGCAACCAGTAGGCTACTGTATCCAAATGTATGAGGGTTTGGTTCGTCTTTACTTGGCTGGTAGTTATGGTTTACTGCGCTGGAAAAATTAAGACACACAAAGTGTGGACACCGTCAACCGTCAACCCTCAGGTGCGTCCCGCCAAACAAAGACAGTGTGGAAACTGCCTACCCTCAGCTGTGTCCCGCAAAAAAAGATAGCCAATGACAGCAGCTGATCTGAAAGCAAAACCTGGATGTTGACCTAATTTAATAAGGATCCTTTATGCTTCAAGATATATTATCTCGATCATGTTCACCTGTTTTTCCGGACATGTTATGTTCCGGAATCCGGACATATCATATCTCTGGAACAGAGATTCCAAGGTTGTTGGAAATCAATATGATTCATCCTCCGGCTGAATAAATATATTCTCTCACAACAAATGAAGAAATGAGTATGAATCAAATCTGATCTGGACGTACGCGATGAGAGAAAGAGAGAGAGAGAGAGAGTATGTGAGAGAGAGAGAGAGAGAGAGACAGAGAGAGAGATGGGGTTTAACGTCCACTCAACACAAACTAGGTCATTTCGGGACTAACACATGGTTCAATTTTATTCAATAATTTGCTTGCGCGTTGGGGATCTTAAGCAGTGGGAGGAAACCGGACCCCACGAGGTTGGACAGTCGACCATACTCCTTGTCATGTACAACCGGGGATTCGAAACCACGCAAGTTGACTCAATGACAGGCCTTATGATACAGCACGCACGTGCTAACCATTCGGCGATCCAATCCCCCAACGCGATGACAATAAATGCGTATAAACTAATCAAGAACAAAACATCTTATAACATGCTATATATTTATCATTTGAGTGAAGTTAAAATAGAAAGAAATAATTATTAATATTAACTAATTATCAACAATCCAGTCTATAATAAAATACATAATCATACACAGTAGATATAAATTGCTTCCCTTGTAAATACCAATTACATATATGAATATATTTAAATATCAAAAAATGAATACTTATGTACCCCATTTATTACTGAAGGCAAAAGAGCTGGGTTTTCCGAAAAGCCTTATGGCAACCCCAACTAAGAAATCGTCCAGCAATGACCCTGGTCCAAATAGTATCGATAAAACATTACACTTGAAAAGGGTTTGCTTTGTCAAAAGCATTTCATGGGGGGGGGGGGGAGAAGAGCACTTAATCATGGACTCAATGATGTGTCTTATACAAGAACAGGCTTGTGGAATCAATACTTGAAACTTGTCAAACTTTTAATATTAAAATCCATATCAAGTACATACTAACAACAACTACGTCGGATTTGTATAATAATACTTAAACATACATTATGTAAGATTTAGTTAAAGAGCTGACCATTCTTCTTATAATAGCTCAAAAATAGATAATGCAAAATGAAAATATTGAAATTTTCATTAAAATTACTTCATCCTGAGCTAAGTTGTCACTGTTTGTAGTTTTGACAAGATGTGTTCATAATGGTAACCAGGGCACTGGTATATTCGAGGCTTTAATCTAGTTAAAATCTTGAGTATCGATGCCATCGAGAGTTGATTCTGGTCTTGTTTTGTTAATAAATGTCTAATAAATAGTTTATATAACATTTCATGCCTAAAGAAAGACCTTCAACAGGCAGATTTACCTCTTGCATAATGTATGTTTAACTTTCATTTTGAAAAAGATCATTAGTGTATAGTTCATAACTATTGAATTACATTGATACAACAAATAATTGTATAGTTTGTGACTATTGTATTACATTGATACCATATATGATACATATATATATACATGTATATGGGTATAATTGAGTGTTAAGTTCATTTGTATCTTAATACAAAACTCTGCTTCAAAGTTGAAAGATGGTGTTTTATAGATGAGGTCAGAAATCAATGGAAGAGTTCAAGAGAAAACAAGGCAGCTAGTTAAAATTATATACTATACTATTTTACTGTAAAAACTGACATTTATAATCTGATCAAGTATATACGAATACCCAAAGAACAATTATTACCATTTTCATCACCTCAGTGCAAAGAGATGGCCATGTGAAATCAAAGGAAATGAATGTAAACTTCAAATGGTCAGAATTGATTGATTTGAATATGGTTTGGTACTTCTGATTAGTTGTGGCCCTTTAGTCTATATTTAACTTTTAGTGTGCCTTGTTGTCCTTTACTTAATAATAATGCCAGCAGTAACTAGATTTAATATGGAATACTGAAGAATTTCTCAAAAGAGTCCTAAGCTCTGTATTAATACAACAGCCTTCAAGAACAGCAGCATAACTTTCACATACCTTCTTGACTTAAAATTCAAATTACAAATCGAACATTACCACAAAAATGGAAAATATTATTCCAAATGACATGATACCATGAATTCTAATAGACACAATTACAGGAATTGTTTTTGATTTGAAAAAGAATATTTTAATATAAAAAAAACCTACCTAGAAATTATATGATGTAGTAAGAAAATAGACAATTAAAATAGATATATTATGTAGATTATTGTATATATATTGTGAGCAAAATGATAGATATGTTTAACATAAACAATATACATATATTAAATTCATACATTGTAAAGCAATCAATGTTTATATTAAGATATAATTTTGAAATTGTCATGATAAAGGTAGTTAGAAAGCAGACCTTTCATTAAATTTAGACTGCTAGGTTTCTAACAAATCTTTCATTAAATTTAGACTGCTAGGTTCCTAACAAATCTTTCAAAGATCTCAATAACATTAAGTGTTGAATTGGGTCTTCTGGAGTGTTATTCTCCTTGCTTGGAAGCAAGATCTATACATTTTTGTTTTTAATGATTAAGTGGAAGTCAATTCGTGTATTAATTTTAATTTTGTTCTCAGCTTAAAATGTTGACTATCTCAGCACTGGCTTTATCTACAGGGGTAATTTTTTCTTATTCTTGCCTGAACTCAATAGTCATTCAGTGTGTGCGGACCTTGAGTGTTGAATAACCCACCATTTGAGATACAGAGTTGACAACCATTAGCTGTGTTAAATCCAAACTCATGTGTTTACAATCTAATTAAAACAGATCCTATTTTGTTTCATTTTTTTATAGTTCAAATTTTTGTTTTACTTGTCTTTACTACACTAGGATCAAGAAGAGCTGTTTTATTACCCGCATTTTGGTTGAAGTGAGGGATTAGCCAATGAAACGCTCTGTTACGGCGACTTCTTGGTGAGCCATGCACGGAACTGTGGGTAAACCACTAGAAACGTCAACGCTGATTGATTAATCAATGTCTGATGTCATAGGGTCAAAAGCCTCTCGTACAACCCCTGACACGACCTTTCAGTACGACTTGTCAGATCTTCATGTAGTGTAGGCCATCGAAAGTATAAAAAAATGAAACGAAATATAGATCTGTATTTTAATCAGGTTGATGTGTTTGTTACTTATTATCACTATTAGCTATCATCTTCCATGTGCTTAGAGCATGCAATATGGATGGAGTAAGCACATTCATAAATGTACATTATGATATTATCATATTATTTGACTATCAATGTACATTACCCTAATGGAGCAATGTCTATTTTTATAGATCTTATGTTACATATATAGCATAGTTATTAACAAAGATCTCTCTTCAAAATGCTACCAGCCATCCAATTTGTTTTGAGGAAATGACTATATTTTTTAGCATTATCTCTATGTAAATAAACTAAATTTTATGTATGTTTACACATAAAACTACAAATATTGCGTTTCTGAAAATATGTAATTATTGGTATGTAAATTGGCTGTCAGCTTAGTAACTGAAACGCTTTCAATGCCAGCCAGTCAAGAGCCCCAGGTATGATATATGGTAATTGATATAATTTATGTAGAAAAGTATAAAGTAACAATTTAAAAATGGAGATGTAATTTAATAAAATAATATGGTATACATAAATATATTAAGTGTAATTCAACTATGTGATCTTTCATAACAATAATCAATATCATTATTCAAATTTCATAATTTAATCAAAAACATTACAAATACACAGAATATGGGCTATCAGGATAAAAAGGTTTATACTTAAAGGTCAAACAAACATCATGTAAATATCATGAATTCCTGGAACAAAGACTATATCTACGGACCAAAAGTTAACATTACAGTATAGTTCAGTACAACATTATTAATAAAAAGTTAACATTACAGTAAACTGCACAAAAAAATTAAGGAGAGTTTAGTAATATAAATTCTCCATATATATATTATTTTATTTAAACAAATATAGCACTTGTCTATACACCAAATCCGATATTTTTGATACCAACACATTGTACAATTTATGGTTATATAATTACTGAATTTATTACTCTGCAACATTTGACGATACACTATTTAATCAAAAGAGCACCTGTTCAGCTTTCACGTTTGTATGTCAGTGTAATGAATTCATCTCACAGATCTATTAGGTAAATTCCACATACAACAGAATAGAGAATTTGGTGAGTTTATCATTTGGTTAATTTTGTTCAAGCGAAAAACATTAGGTATACACAGATTACAACATGACTATGAAAATCAAACAAAAAAATACTGACTACAGCCAGCTATCTTTGACTTTAAAATTTGCAGAACTGAAAACAAAAACTAGGTGCTTCATATAAAAGATATAAATTACTAATACAGTTTTGAAACCTAATATAATACTATATCATTCTGAGACTAAAAACTGTTTAGATTCCATATTGAAATATTAATCACAAAACACCATAATACTAACAATATAATAGAAACAAGTAGTTAAATCATAAATTTTATGCATAGATATTAATACATAGCAAGATTGCCTGATAACTTATATTAAGCCTATAAGCATTATATGATAAAAGGTTCTTTTCCTTTAATTAATTATACTATTCATCTATGGAATCTATTACCATACATAGCACAAAAATGCCTTAATATCCTTTATCATTAACGTATATCATCTCTCGACTACTTTAATTCAACGATCTCTACAGAAAGAATTTCTGAAAAAAAGAATCTGAAAATCTCCACTAAAAACTTGTGTTCCAAAATTATCTTTTTGATTTAACCATTTTCTACCAAAAAAATACATCAATTGTTAATAATAATTATTTCTTGCCAGAATTCTCATCAAAACAGAATCATTATTTTAACTTTTTTATATGATTTAATAGACTTTCTGCTGTTATTCATTAGTTACAGAGATTGGTCGTACAATAATGGATCTAATTTTGATCTCTGATTACAGGTTTAATTAAAGTTCACCTTCTATAATATAGTACACAAAGGAAATTATGCTTTTAGGTCATTGGTCTCAAAAATAGAAATGTTGCAAATATATGTAAGCCCTAAGAACCTGTGTATATACATTATATAACACAGGTTGCAATATTATAATTTGGCATATTTTATTTGATCTATAAGACTATAAATTAAGTAAAATTTAACATATTTCTGTTGTATGTTTTAATCTGCAAGCCGTATTGGTGTCTGAGTAGTCTTAATATTAATGTAATTTGCTAACTAACTGTAATTTAAACTACATGTACATACAACTTATAAATCACTGAGATGCTTTGCTTAAATATAATGTAAGTAATAACAATAATATAAAGAAAGCAGATAAGATTATACATATATTATTATGTTTAAGGAATACCACCAACTAATGCCATTAGAATTTTTCTATAATCCCCAGACACATCATCCTAAAAATACAAATAACAAAAAACAATGTATTATAATCATGTAGTAATATCACTATCACTATAAGTAAAAGAATTATTTTCTATTTCTGCATTGGCTGAGAAAGTTCATCTGGATTTTCCAGCATGATTCCCTCTTGTCAGTGATGCAGGATAGAGGATCTGACAATGACAGCTTTCTAGTCATTCGGATGGGCCAAAAAACCGAGGTCCCATGTACACATTGGCTTGCACGTAAAAGATTCCTAGACAGTTGGAATTCGATAAAAGAGTAGGCCGTAGTGCCACTGTCCAGGCAAAATTTCCCTCATAGCACACTGTATGCCGTATGCCAGACTTCATTAGCCCAGTTCGGAGCAGAACAGTGGGACGTTAAACCCCATTTCATTTCATTTCATTTATTTTCTATTTTACTAATTTCATTTCGTATCATTTATATTTTACTTGTTTACATGCATTTCATTCTTCGCACATTTAGCCAATTCTCAACACAATTTGGAAAACATGAACCGAAGTATGCTACAATAGCAGTACACTTGCAGATTGGATGCTTTGCACATTATCTGCCAATGATTGCAGTGATAATTCAGTATCATAAAAAAAATCCAGACTTCTAAAGCTTATACAACCATTGTGTAATCCAGATCACTATAGAAATCTGTTGATTCCAGATTATTGTAGATCTCAGTTGACTCAAGACCACTATAGAACTCAATCTATTCAAGATCACTATAGAACTCCATCTATTCAAGATCACTATAGAACTCAATCTATTCAAGATCACTACAGAAATCAATTTATTCAAGTTCACTATAAACCTCTCTTCAACTCTGTTCAACCAAGAAATAAACAGACTTCTTACTTACCCTAATAAATGACTCTAATGTCTTTCCATAACGTCTTTGGAATTCCTCTTTAATTTGCTTCATATCCACCTCACAGCGAGTTACTACAATACGGATTAATGTTCTATCATCAGTTCCTGCTCCCTATAAAATATAAAATTGCGTTCAGTTCACTATAGTAATCTATTAACAACAAATGACTAGGTATTGAAAATACGTTGACACAAAATACAACCAATATTCGTAAAGCAATGGTAACAGGCATTATCATCTCCTTAATCACTGCCACATTTGATAACAATAATAAGCCATTATTTTCATTGGTTTGATGTGAAACAGAAATTTTTTTTTACGCTAAGCAAAATTGATAAAAGAAATGGACACCGAGAAGAATCTGATTAAAAGACAAATCCTATTTCATTTCGTTTTTTTTTTTTTTCTAGTTCAAAAGTTTGTTTTATGTATCTGGTAGAGTTGTTAAATAACCCACGTTGTGGTGATGTGAAGGATTAGCCAATCAAATGGTCTGTTGAGTTTTGAATTTTGCTGTGTGCCTCACAGAACTAGTGGCAGACATAAACAGTGGTAAAAACAAATTGTAACATTGATGGGAAATCTTCCTTTGTTCTTTTCGTTGAATAGGCAAATTGTTTTCCTTCTAGTAGATTGAGTGGAGCTTAACCGCGCAATAACTAGATTTGTTCAATGTTACTGCACACTTTTGCTGGTTTACACTAGTTTTAGTAGAAATCATATAGAGAAGTGGGGTGGGTTTTCTGTGCAATAACAACAAGCATGTTGAGCAGGTGTCAATGTTACAAGTCATTTATAGCACGCTTCATTCGTTAACTCATGAAAGCCGCACTATAAATATAACATAAAGCAAAAGTTGTCCTTCCAAATAACCACTTGAAACACTAACTCTGATTGGTTAATCGAATGACTAACGGCATATGGTCAAATGAGCCCTATCGTATGAGCCCTGATGCACATTCCCACTACAACCGGTCAAATCTGCGTGAAGTGGAGGCTATTGAAAGTGTAAAAAACGGAACGAAATGTGGATCGGTATTTTCATCAAATTGGGATGATAATTAAATAGAAACACCACTTAGTAATTAAGTGTAGCAATAGTTAATGAGCTGATCATCCCTGTAACCATTGCTTCATGAACATTTGTCGGAACTTACTATAGAATGTTTTGAATTATGCATACCCAGTAATTATAATACTAGAATTACTAACCTTCATAGAATGATAGAGATTAAAACACTAAAATTACTAACCTTCATAGAATGATAGAGACGGTCAGCAAAATAACCAGATTTATTTCTTACAACACGTACTGTAAATAAACAGTTTTACATTACATATCTTACATATATCAACTAAATACATCTAGTTTAATTACACACTCCTGGCAGTGTTTCGTCTGATTATACCTAATCCCACTAAACACTGCTTTAACGAAAGCAAATTTGAGTTCCAAATGGTCTGATTAACAACCAATAGTTAACTGTGTTACAAAAGCATCACACTTAAAACAGAGCTCCAAATTGGACCAAATATGTTTACATAATGTTAGGTCATGACTCATGATTTAATTATGCCCAATTAACCAGTGCATAGCAGAACATTGCAGAAAAACTAATTGCGTGACAAACGAGGCTATTAAATGTAAACAATACTGTTTAGAGACGAACAATACTTTCACCGTTTTTAATATCACTGTCCAAAGACCTGGACCCAGATTAAATGAAGGGCTGTTATGTTGCTGTACTTGGGATAGATTTGATTGAACGAGAAGTATCAGTAGTCAATCCAGCAATGGCCAGAGAGGGATTTCTTGGGCCATTGCTTCAGGAATATGATTTAATTAGAGAGAGAACCAGAGAAAACCCACAAGATTGGACAGGCGACCCTACTCCTTGTCACGTACAACCAGGAAATCGAAACCACACCTGTTGACTCAAAGACAGACCTTGTGATACAGCCCACACATGCTAACCATTCGGCCAACCACCCCCCACCATTTAATTACAGTGCAAGGGAGATTACCACTATTATATACATGATTACATGATAAGAGTTCACCTAGAACAATCTAATCTGATGGAATTGCAATCAAGTGAACTAGAATTGAGTCAAGTACCAAAAACAGATGTGGTGTGAGCAGAATCGTGATATAATTAGACATTTCACCTACAGTGATTTGTCAAGATATTATCATATTCATTTAACACATGCCATCTTTACAGAATTCTCCAACTTGTGATTACTGACACCTTTGGAGAGAGAGAGAGAGAGAGATGGGATTTAATGTCCAATTGTCCATTCGACACAAACTTGGTCATTTCGGGACTAATATATGGTTTAATTTTATTTCAATAATTCGCTTGCGCGTAGGGGTCTTTAGCAGTGGGAGGATACCGGAAAACCCGGAGAAAACCCACAAGGTTGGACAGTGGACCATACTCCTTGTCACGTATAACCGGGGATTCGAAACCACGCCAGTTGACTCAATGACAAGCCTTATGATTGATCGCCCACATGCTAACCCTTTTGGGGGATTGAGAGAATTCATTTCCTGAAAGTTCAATCAAGTATGTATCCTCTACATGCCGAAACAATTTGAGAAAAACATGTAATCACTTTGCTTTGGTTGTATGTTAGAATGTAGCATAGCATAATAAAACAATAATCCATATTTTACTAGATATGTACAACTAAATCCAATTTAATTGATTAACGGATATGCTATAACTTGAAAGGATAAGGGATATAATATTTAAAAAAAATTTCCACAATATTTTTTTATGTATTACTATTCCTGTATTTTAACTTATTAGTATAATTTTAAATATACGGTCTGTTTAGTACAAGGGTTCTGTACAGGTCTTCCACTTCACAATTTTCGGTCATTTGTGATACGGCACATGTGTGTGAAATAGCTTTATTTAATGTCTGCTTCCACAAAAGTGATATCGCAGACAAGATAAGGCATGCAACCTTTGGAAATTAAATTCATATTTCAAGGGGGGGGGGGGGTTATTTATGGTAGGGTATCGTGAATCCATGTGTCTATACCACTTTGTCAGCATGGTGTACACAAAATAAATAAAATATTAGTATGTTTTAACAACTTTTTTCCATTATAATTTGGGTTTTTTCAATCAGAAGTTGATGTTTTATTTTGGCAGAAGTGTCCACTCAATTTCTAAATCAAACATAAATAAGACTGAGAACCCCCACCCGCTTTAGCCTTTACCAATGTTCGTTAACATGAAAGTAAATAACTTACTGATGGTTGACATTCCTCTAGCAAGATCACCAGACATCTCGCTACTAATAGCTCTCTCTATGTCATTGTTAGCTATTCTAGAATAGGCATCAAATACTGCACGTAATTGTGGATAACTCTGTGATGCCAACACCATATTGAATGTATTCTCATCTGTTCCCCATCTCTTAGCACCAGCTTGATATAATTTCTACAAATATATTAATTAAAACATAGTTAGGATGTCCCACCATAGCCCAAAAATTGGATCTAATCAAATTTGAAATGAAATGAAATGGGGTTTAACGTCCTACTGTTCTGCTCTGAACTGGGCTAATGAAGACGGGAATCCACCATAAAGTGTGCTATGAGGGAAATTTTGCCCGGCCAGCAGCACTACAGCCTACTCTTATATCGAATTCCAACTGTCAACAGATCTTTTACGTGCATGCCAATGTGTACACGGTACCTCGGTTTTTCTTCCCATCTGAACAACTAGACAGCTGTCCTTGTCAGGGCCTCCGTCCTGCATGACTGACAAGGGGGGAACTACGCCGGAAAATCCCAATGAATTTTCTCAGCCAATGCAGGAATGGAACACCCAACCTCCAGGCTAGTGAGCCAGCGTCTTACTCACTTAGCCACAGTGATCCCCCTAATAAAAATTGAAGTTATTCCTGTGAATGTTCACCCTCAAATGTCAATTTGAGGTGAAGCATCTTCATTGTTAGGCAGGCGCTTCAATGAACCTATAAACAGCCAGTAAACGTGATATCGTCTCACATATACCAAATAATAAAGCCCTAAAAAATCTAAATATTAAACAATTCTGATTATTATTTATTAGAACAGAAAAGGAATGAAATTTAACAAAATTAGTGTAACCGAAAAAATAAGTGGAGATAACAGATTATAATTTGAACTACCACAGCTATTTCTTTGGAAAGTTTGTTGAACAGTTGAATATAAAGCCAGATTCCGACAGGCATCAATCAAGTCAAATATCAGTACATTGAGTCAATCTGAGAATCTTAATCCTTACATTGAACAACCCAATCTTCTTAAAATATCCCAGAATTGGTCTATCCACGATGTAACACGTCAATCGACAATTCAAATGTTCGATTCATATGGAAATATCATGTAGCTTATTTGGTGATGGAACGAAATACATCTGTTATCGAACATAATAAATGATGCTAATGGAAATTGCACCCTAGATTAATAACTAAAGAGTAATAAAAGAAAAGATAGATAGTTACCTGTGCATCTGCATTAGCTTTATTCTGATCTACAGTTTGATTCTCCATTCTACCGCCCTACAAAAAACATATAAACATCTTACAATTAAAAGTATATTATGCAAGAGCTAAATCTGCCTATTGCAGGCCTGAAATGTTATCTAAATTTTTGATTAGACATTAATCAACTTATCCAGACTATAATTAACTCTCGATGCCATCGCTAGCCTGCGATATTTAGCAGACTGGAATACATTTTGTGAAGGATAATTAAACATAAAAATGGATAATCGAGACTTTGTTTTTTATGTACTGACTTTAGTAGTGATGATCGAGGCTAGCCTAAAATCCAAAAGCTAATATCTCGGTTCAGAGTGGAGCAAGTTTTTGGCATATTCTATTTACGTTAACTAATCTTTAACTATTATAGAGCGAACCATCAACTCTCTATCTAATCTCCCATAATGCCCCTTTAACATATCATATCTTTAACTCAAATAATATAATTATTAAATATATTTAATTAAAAAATTAGTTATATATTTTATTTACTATAAATGAATGGGAGATCGGAGAACAGGCAAAATGCTTATGTCAGACCCCTATCCCAATATATTAGTTTTATGCATTAACAGTATTTTACAGTATTTCGAGTTACTTTACTTACAACTGACATAGAAACTAAAAGTTTTTTAAAATGACCAGATGTTTCACTGATGATATCGTCCTCAAGTTTACGTCCATGCACTGAAAAACACAAAAAAATTAAACAAAGTGAAAATTGGAATATAATAAATGAAATGTTGTGAAATTGGAATATCATAAATACAATCTTGTGAATTTTTGGAATGTTGTAAATGAAGAGGTTAGTAATCTAATTAAACCTTTGAGAGTTGATTTCAATGAAGACAATAAAGGCAAACTTCTCCTAAGCACTGTATATGTAACTAGAAAGTTATAAACTTCAGTTAAAAATGATGATGTTGTACAATACTTACTGAGTTTATAAGCAGCATTAATAGCATGTATATCAGCATTGGTACGTGTACACATAATTTCAATAAGAGCACTTTCATCTGTACCAGCACCCTATATGAAAAAAAGACACTGATTTATTTGAAACGGTTCACAGAAAAAGATATTTCATCTAAGGTGAAGAGAGGGAAAAAGAGAGAAATGGGGTTTAACGTACACTAGATACAAATTAGGTCACTTCAGGACTAGCATATGGGTCTATTTTATTTCAATAATTTGCTTGTGTGTGGGAGGAAACCGGAGGACCGGGAGAAAACCCACAAGGTTGGACATGCAACCCTACTCTGTCACGTACAACTGGGGAATCGACACCACGCAAGTTGACTCAATGACAGACCTTATGATAAAACGCGCACACGCTAACAATTCGGCCATCCAACCCCACCCCAAAGAGGAGAAATGGGGTTTTAACAATTTTTTTTCGATTATTGAAGAGTCGAGGACCCGGAGAAAACCCACGAGGTTGGACTGCCGACCCTACTTCCTGTCACAAACATAAGAATATCATTTATAAACAAAACAATAGAAATTGTTTGAATTATATAATAGTTACTGATATATACTACAAACTTACCCTCATAGCTCTTCGTAATTCATAAGCATCATATTCATCTTTTTTGAATAATAAGGCAATCATTACATTTTCAAATCTACTACTTAACTCACTTCTCAAATCATTCATTAAATCCTGAAAAGAAATGAAAAAAATTAGTTTAACATTCCAATTTGGTTAGTTTAGTTCAGTGGACATTTAAGGGATTACCAGAAAGTAAACAAATCCAATTCTATTGCTCCCAATCAGTTCTAGGGTACTAAGTATTGTTTAATGGTCGAAAGCGAGACATTTAAGTAATATATTGTGACAACAAAAGGGACGTAGGACCAAGTGTTTTTACAATATATTACTAAGCAATGTCTTAAGCTCGAGACCATTAAACAACTTAAAATACAGATACTCTGCACATGCTTTTACAGTGAAATACGTCACGCGAGTCCAATATTTTACTAGTATAAATAATGTACAATTGGCAAGTTGCCCGTACGATTATTTGAAATAATGGTACGCCAAATCTGTATTTTAATTAGAAATAAGACATACCATGGAATATTTAGAGCATAATTGAGTCATCTGTTCAACCCTAAAACTTATTTTTTGAAAGTATTTATAATAACCAGGACAAAGCCAATTAGAGATTCAAATCAGTACAGAGTGTCAACTTCTAGTTTGACTAGTTAACACCCTGCGCTTGTTCATTCAGTGTAGTACATAAAGGCAATTACCTTAAAATTTCTACATTGTCAAATAAGTTTCACTTTAAGTTATATACTTGGTAACAAATATATTTCATCTGGTAAATACAATATGATCAATATTTCCAATGAACTGTGAAATATTTAGGATATTGATTGTTGAGAAAATATATCTTTTAAATATGAAAAATGCATGATTTTAAAATATTTCAGTATCTAAGATATATGAAAACAAATATAAATCTTACAAATTACATTCAAATTTTATTATAAAATAACACCAATGAAACAACAGAAAGAAACTTACTCTTCCAAAACATGTCTTATACATCAGCTTAATATTCTGTCTCTGATCACAACTTCTATAACCCAATACATCAATTATAGCTTTTTCATCAGTTCCTATAGTATAAAATATATATATCTGTATACAATAGAGAAACTTGATCAAGACAAGTTCCATGAATCGCTTAAAGATGCATTATGTAAGATTGAGATGAAGAGATGGCCATTCTTGCTATAATAGTTTAAAAATAGATAATGGAAAATGAATATATTGAAAATTTCATTCAAGTTACTTTATTTTGAGCAAAGTTATTAGGTAGTGTACAATTGCTTTCATTGTAGCAACTGTAGTGAATAAACAAGACTAAGTCTTGATTTTCCATTTTATTGTTAAATTTTTAAATCCTGCGGCTGTTCTAATCCATTTAAATCTCTGCCATCTGATAATCTAGAGAGTTGATTATGGGCTTGTCATGAGAATAAATATCTAAATAATAGTTTATATAACATTGAAGCCAAACTAAAGACTTGTGATGGACAGATTTAGCTCTTACAGAAGACATCTTTAAGCAACCTAGAACTTAGAAGTGATCATTAATTAAATCAAATGTACAAATTGTAATTGAATATTTTTTCCATGTATACAGCTATCCAACACTTTATATAAAAAAACAAAACTATTCAATGTGTATTTCAAAAACTTTCGATAGAAATCATTTTTCTTACCAAAACCCTTCATGGCTTTTCTCAGTACTTGACAGTCTGTTTCTGCATTAAAATTTGGCTGTGGCCTTAGTGTGCCTTCATCCTAAAAAATAAAATATAAAGTCTTCTATCTAAACTATTTACACTAATGTTAAGAAAGCTTGTGAACAGAACACAATTTGTTAAAATCTGATGCAGAATTGCTTATTGAATAACTTGGACTACCAGTAAACCTACCTTAATGGTATAAGAAGTAGCATTAGGTGTTCCATAACCCGGTTGACTGGCAGGCACTGAAGAATAACCAGGTTGTTGCCCAGGTAAACCTCCAGGTGCACCTGGTTGACCACCATAGCTTTGTCCACCAGGCTGTCCATAACTCTGTCCACCGGGTTGTCCATAACTCTGTCCACCAGGCTGTCCATATCCTGGTGCTCCTGGTTGTCCATATCCTTGTGCAGGAGCTCCTTGTTGTCCATAACCTGGAGCACCACCTGGAGGGGGTTGTCCATATCCAGCGGGTGGCTGGTTGTATCCTGGTGCTCCACCGGCAGGCTGCTGGGGATAACCTGGAGCTCCACCTGCTGGTTGTTGGGGATAACCTGGTGCACCACCACCTGGTTGCTGTGGGTAACCACCTGAAGGAAAGCCTCCTCCTGAGGGATATCCAGGAGCACCACCAAATCCCTAAAAGAAAGATATGCCAATCACTATTAAAGCTCAATATTATATATACCTGTGTATATTTATATACAGTATACCATATGGGGGGGGGGGATGATTGAATGAGTCAACTGGCGTGGTTTCGATTCCACGGTTGTGTGTGACAAGGAGTAGTATCGCCTGTCCAATCTTGTGGGTTTTCACGGAGTTGTCCGGTTTTCTCCCACAGCTAAAGACATCTACCAAAATGACCTAATTTTATGTATGTGGAGTCAACGTTAAACCCACTTCTCTCTCTCTCCATATACTATATGACTACTGTATGTCAATATTTTTTGATATTACAAAGAGTATATACACATTTTACCAACAGATTTTATCCTGTGACTATTACTTATAGTTTTATTTCATATTTCAGATGCATCTTAAGGATTCTAAAACATCAAGGTTTCCATACTATATAATGTCAATGGATTCTAAAACCACAAGGTTTAGATAATAATGTCAATGCAACACTACTGTAAGTTTGGTTTTTTTTACTCACACATTAATATGCTTTTAAACTACCATTGTAGAATAAAGTTATAGATTGATCTATATATAAAAGTGAAAGTTGGCTTGTTTATTTGTTCGTTAAAGGAAACTCAAGAGTTTAACTTAACAATTTTAAAATAACTTCATAATAACAAGAAAATTATAAATGGTGCTATTTATTTTGTAATTGGTGCAGTATTTAATGATGGAAGTGGCAATAAATGATTACTGACGATCTTGATGGACATGACCACGAAATCCAAGGGAGAAAACTCCATATTGCAACATTGGTTTGTGGAAGTTATTAAGCTTGCACAAGATGTTTGCACCCTTGAAAATTAATAAGAACCAGATTTATAAAGGTGGTATTATTTTTGTATTAGGTACAGTATCTAATCATGAAATTTATAGTTTTAATACTCTGGGAACAGTAGACTACATATTTGGAAAACAAGAACCTTATTCTTGCTGATTTACAACACTTGGAACTTTTCCTATTTTAATTAAGACTAAATTTAAGAAAATCTTTAATTTTTATTTTCATATCACATTTTATTTGTTATCATTCTTCATATAATTAATACATTTTTTTATAATGCATTCAAGTATTTATAATCTAGTCTAAAATTGTAACCACCTTGATTACTCTAATTGTTTGATTCTGTTAATTTTAATAATCATCTGTTTTAAAAAAACATGATGATGCCAGCAGAGATCTACCGGCCTGTTCAGCCTCTGCTACTCTTTTAAGGGAGTGTTGCTGTTCGCCCAGTTATTCATTGTGTTATTGTAGATGATACAACCGTGGAAATAAACTACATGTAAATGCGTGAAATACTGAGTAAGACATCATGTAGTATAAAGTTTATACTATAAACATAAGTCACATATACCACGGATTACTTAGATTTGAGTTAGTAAAAAACATATTTGAATGTCATTAAGGATTAATGTATACTTACTGCATTATAGGTAGCTTGACCACCTCCTGGAGCTGCAGGCATGGCTACTCCAGGGGGTTGTGGGTATCCTCCTGGTGCTGAACCATATCCTCCAGGACCCCCCATCTATAAATAAACAAAAACATGAAATATGGATTAATATATTTATAGTATGAAAGAGAGAAAATCTCCATGATGTTTATAGTTTATTTATATGACAATGAAAATATAGCCCAATCATAATCAAGACTGGCTGTACAGGTGTAACGTCCACTTGACACAAACTAGGTCATTTCAGGACTAACACATGGTCCAATTTTATTTCAACATTGGGGTCTTTAGCAGTGGGAGGAAACCGGAGGCCCGGAGAAAACCCACGAGGTTGGAAATGTGACCCTACTCCTTGTCACGTACAACTGGGTAATCGAAACCCCATCAGTTTGCCCAATGACAGTCTGTATGATACAGAGCGCGCGTGCTAACCATTTGGCCATCCCCCCCCCCCCCCCCTGGATGTATAGAAGAAAGCTATATTTTTGTTGAGATTTACTTTATTGGGTTCACTGACAATTAAAGACGCATTATTGAAGAAGAGCTGAATCTGTCTATTAGAGAGCTTTCTTTAGGTCTTAAATGTTATATTAATTATTAGTAAGACATTTATTATGATCATAATCAACTCTCTAGGTCTTCAGATTCTGATTTTCATTTGTTTTAAAAATGATTGACAGTTAATGATTTAATTAAAAAATGGAAAATCAAGACTGTTTACTATCGTAAAAATGATAGCAATGACAATCCTGACTCTGCTATTCACCAAACTGCCCTAATCTAGCGCAAAATGAAGTAATTTGATTGAAATTTTCGACATATACCCATTTCATTATCTATTTTTCAACTATCATAGCAAGAACTGTCAGCCTTTATCTAAATCTTACATAAAGCATCTTTAATAAGTCATATATATACATGTAACACACTATTTTTGTTTATTATTATACAGTGCTAGTATGACCTATATTCTGTATTAATATACAAGGCAGGTCTACATCGAGTAAACCAATGCCTATGTGGAGTTTTCAAGATTAAATTAATACGCTGAGATAGGTACTTTTTTCTTTATCCTATATCAATTTTAGACCCTATTATCCCTATCATTTGTCCTATATCAATTCTAGACCCTCATGATCCAAATGGGGTGTTACTCCTAAACAGAAGGTTTCCGGAAAAATGAGTTCATGCAACGCATTAACAGGCCAATTGGTGATACAACAGACTACAGCAGTGACAAAATAATACGTCCACATAGAAATTTGGGCAAATACCCAATTCAATACTTTTTTCGACTCGTTTAGCTCTTTTAAGCGTCTTATCACAACTTGACCAATATATGTTTAGTAACTTACATCAAACCCAATACCACCTCCTGGTTGTGATGGGTAGGGCATTCCACCTGGATTTCCTCCATAAGCTGCTGAAGAGGCTGACTCTGGTGTTGGCATGGATACACCACCTGGATAGCCAGGTTGTGAAAATCCTCCTGGTTGTTGTGGATAACCACCAGGTGGGCCTCCATATGGTGGATAACTCATAATTTATTGATTAGGTTGTTTTTTTATTGTTCAGTGATTAAAAGACGTCTCCTAAAACATATCAAAAGTAAGAAGTTTTCTGATATTGTAGTAAGTAAGTAAGTAAGTAAGTAAGTAAGTAGTAAGTAAATAAATAAAATAAAAAAAAAAAATAAAAAAAGCTGTCATCTCAAGAATCCATCCGGATCACTAAAGTAAATAATTACTGTAAGTCTCCTAAACATGCCAAAAGTAAGTTTTCTGACTGGGGGTAAAATAAGAATGATTATCTGATTAAGCTACATAATTACTGTCTCCTAAAACATATCAGAAGTAAGTTTTTTGATAATTGAAATTAAAAAGGCTATTCTGACATCTGAAGAATCCATATGATCAGTAAGCTAGATAATTACCGGTGGTACTTTTTACCGCCGACTACCGCCGATCAAATGTTTCTTACCGCCGACCGTCGTGTAATTACCGCCGACCGTCGTGTAATTACCGCCGACCAAATACTTTTTACCGCCGACCGCATTGTAATGACTTTCGACCGTAATATAATTACCGCTGACCAAATACTTGTTACCGCCGACCAAATGCTTAATGATTCCTTGTTACCGCCGACTATTTTACGGTTGTTTTTTGTTTTTTTATAAAAAAGAATACAACAAGAATGTTATTTTTTATTTGAGGTGTAATCACGTACAACTGTCGGAAAACATTCATATATATTTCAAAGAATATGGAAGGACAAAACTAAAATTTAGATATTGAAGGGCAAATATATCAAGATTGTTTCAGCTACTGGTTATAAATAAATAACATTTTAGGCCTATCTTTTATTAGTGCGAGGGTTAGGGTTAGGGTTGTCGACCATATTTATATATAATAAAATCTATATTTTTATCAAACTCTGTGTATTTAACCAAATCTATTTATTTGTCACTAATAATTTAATTAATTTTATTTAGTCGGTGGTAAAAAGGAATCATTAAGCCTTTAGTCGGCGGTAACAAGTAGTTGGTCGGCGGTAATTATATTACGATCGAAAGTCATTACAATGCGGTCGGCGGTAAAAAGTATTTGGTCGGCGGTAATTTCACGACGGTAAAAGTATTGGTCGGCGGTGGTCGGCGGTAAAAAGTACCACCCGATAATTACTGTAAGTCTCCTGAAATGTATATCAAAAGTAAGTTTTCTGATTTTGATATGGTAAAATAAAAAAGCTCATCTGACCACTAAGACTCTAATAAATCCATCGGATCGCTAGATTAGATAATTACTCAAATTCCTGTACAAGCGTACTCACTGTTATAATGGATGAATTTTAGTTTATTTCACACTTACCGGTACCGTAAGTGTTCTTGTGAACGATTTACCTACATAGATATATGGTGAACAAATCGGTGAAAATAATGCAGTTTTATTATGCCTATCGTTTTTTTTTTTTTTTGCTTACTTCCCTGTAACAAAGTACAAAGCCGTCAAAGTCAATGTTTTGTGTCTTCTTTAATCTTTAACTTGACTTTGAATAGGCCTTCGTATAACATAATATAATTGCTTACTATAACGTCTTATCTCGTTACTTCTGTCTACTACTACTACTTGGCTGAGTAGTTCCTTTCACAAACATTCGGTTATGCGTCAGCGTACTTACAGTTGTAGTCAGCTTAGTTTCAGTCAGAATTAACTTGTTGAATGTTACGCAAATCAAAAATTGACAAATTCTGAGCGGCCTACGATCATCAGATACCAATTAATCACGTCATGGACGGTATAATCTATATTATATTATTGTAATTATACGACCTCGCCCCTTATAATCATGATGTTGCAACAACTATTGTTTACTTTTATAATGTGGTAGATAGATTGCCAATTTTATCTCTTACTTACCCAACAATTTGCTATTTATGGAATTCCGGAAACAAAAATTGTGAAATAGTGCGTGTATTTAGAGTAGTCTACCCCTCCCCGAACGTCATTTGGTCTTCATCAACCAGCCCATTATGGTCTGAATTCAGTTTCGGGCTACCTCTCGAGCATATTGAACAACCACTTTTTACATTTTCTTTTTGAAAAAATAATAATAGAAATGTTTCAGATTTCTTCATCAAAATATATTAGTTGGTACTAAACTAAAATAGTTAGTAATAGCCTCATTTTTTTCCACAAACAAGTTCCACGTACATGATACGGAACCTTTCATTTTTTTCAGCATTGAAATATCAAGGGGTAGACTCATAGAGATATATAAATTGACTAGAATGGCCACGTGCTCTGGATGATAGAGACTATAATAGCTCATGAAAGTTAGTTGAAGGAATGAAAAATGTTTCGACTGCCAAGAACTTTAATCATAGCAGGAACAAAACAAATCTTTAGTAACAACCACACAAAAACATTTCAACAGCTAGCTCTTGGATATAAGAGTCAATATAACGTAGATAACATCTATACCAAAAGTAATACAGATTTTCTTTCTGGCTTGTCAAAGGTAAAGAACTAGAAGAGTTGAAGAAACCACGCTAGTAAAAATAAATGCAAGTGAAATAACGTACACAAAGTGCAAAATTCATCAAAAGAAGAGGGCAAAATGATGAATATATCAGATATATATCTAGAGTGATCATATGGCCTGTCATTGGCAACTGGCATGGTTTTGATTCCTCAGTTGTAAGTGACAAGGAGTAGGGTACTAGGGACGCCTGTTCATCCTATGGGTTTTCTCCGGGTCCTCCGATTTCCTCCCACTGCTAAAGACCCCTATTGAAATTAATTGAACCATGCGATTGTCCCGAAATGACCTAAATTGTGTCGAGTGAATGTTAAACCCCATTTCTCTCTCTAATTAAGAGACAACTACCAAAACAGAACAGCACTAGCTGGACAGCGCCAAAGTAGACGGGAAAATCTGGATGAACTTTCTCGGCCAATGCAGGGATCGAACACCCGACCTCCAGGCTAGTGAGCCAGCGTCTTACCCACTTAGCCACGTGATCCCCAGCTGTGAATGTATTACTATTATGAAGCACAAATCTGAGTTATTAAAGGCAAACAATACATTGGTTCATGGAATGACGTGTCATAATTTAATTGATTAATTTTATTATAATTGTTCTAGATATTTCATTACTAAAAATTTCTCTTATTTCCAGCATGTAACAAAATTCAGTTCAGCAAATAATGAAGAATTCTCCGGCTATATACCCACAGGTAAAGTATGTTGATGTAGCCTAAGCTGAGATGGTTGAATATCATCAAAGACATTTATTTATCTCTCAACATGCCAATTCTAGTATAGGCCTATAAATGCTTGTGGGTTAGAAAAATTGGTGAACAGATTCTTAAATTGCCCCCATATACATGTAATGCTATAGGCCTACCCTTGAAGTATCCTGCGCATGCTCAATAATTAGTTGATTATGAACTCACTTCAGTGATAAGGGTCCTTCCTTACAAAATTACAAAAATATCTGCACGAGAAGACATCTTGAAAATGTGCATCAATTTTCTGTAAGACTCGTCACGTTTGGATTGGGATTACAATAAATTAATGGGGTTTTTTATGTTAGAATTTAGATGAAAGAGAAAGTTATATTTTTTAAATATTTTAGAATTCATAATTTTTTTAGATCAACTTACTATATCATATTCAAGAAGCAGTGGACCAGGTGGTCAACATGTAAATAAAGGTGAGAAGTAATTTTATTTGTGTGAATGTGTATAAATAGATTCACAGTGAATACATACAAATCGGGGGTGGGTGGGGGGACCTGATATAAGTTGGACATAGCCCCGATTGTATGACAGTTAAAGTCTACATTATTTCTCTGTAAACTTTCAGTTAATTTTGAAGCCACATTTGTGTGATATAAGGTTATCTAATGTACTATAAGTTGGAGAAAAAATCTTACATTTATTTAAAATTATACACTTTTACATAGTTCTGCTTCCCATTTTATCTGTTTAATTTTATGAAGTTTATGATAAACTTTAAAGCCTATATATATATGGCACATGTCACTGACAATGTCAGTCAGAATTTCAGTCTTTATCAGGTACAATTACTCTGGTACCTGTCACGTTGTCCGTCACCAATTTGTATTTTTCTGTGTTTTTGTTAATCTTAAACTTAAATATGTCCTGTACAACAGACTGACTGCGTTGCGTGAATGCCACTCAGAGTGTTGGGTAAAGCTTTTAGTTTGATCCACAGCAAGATTGATCCATTCAATCGAGGGGAGAGGGGGAACTGCTTTTTATCTGATTACACTGATATTAATCATGGAAACCATTATGTTGGCAGCATAATAAACTTCAAAAGTTTTAAAAATTAAGTTTTAAATACTTATATAATTGTAATTTTTGTTATTTTTAGTCAATACAAAAGTTGAAATTCGATTCCATGTTGAAAGTGCTGAATGGATACCACAATGGGTCAGAGATAAACTTGTACAAAAGGTAACATAAAAAAAAATGAAACGTGCTTGACAGCTAATTTACAAAATAAATATTATGATCATTCAAGCTAAATGGTTAGAAATACTAAAAGTTGCATTATGTAAGATTTAGATAAAGAGCTGGCTGTTCTTGCTATAGTAGTAAAAAAAAATAGAAAATTTCATTCAAATTACTTTATTCTGAGCGAAATTATCCCAGTTTGAAGTTTTGACAAGATGTGGTGGTGGCATACATTGTTTATTATCATAACAACAGTACTTGTTATTTGAGACTTAGCCTTGGTTTGCTATGTTTAAATTATTAAATGGCGACTGTCTTTTAATCAGCTTAAATCTCCGACATGCGATGATCTAGAGAGTTGATTATAGGCTTGTCATCTGAATAAATGTCTAAATAATCATTTATATAACATTTGAAGCCAAAATAAAGACCTGCAATAGGCAGATTTAGCTCTTACAGAATGCGCCTTTAAGTTGACTGTTCATAAGTTCTGAAAAAGATTTGCTTAGTCTCAATTAAATATTTATGTTAAATAAGTATTGGTCTCCAACTTCTGGAAATCAGATCATTTCAGTGGCACGGTTGTTGTGATACCATATCAGTCCGTTAATGTTAAAATTAGTTTATTATGTTACGAATTATTGTTTGGTGGCTCTCATGAAATTATTTAGTTAGATCAGTTCAAGGGGAAAATATGATCATCCAGGCTGTTATACTATGGGTTACACAGCTAAATAACAGTACAAAAATGTATCATGTTTTTGGGTGTTTTTTTTCTTTCAGGAACAAAATAATATAAATAAAGAAGGATTTTTGATTATCACATCAGACAGATCTCGTAAACAAATGTTAAATCAAGCTGACTGTCTAGATAAACTTCGTACTATGATATTTAACAGTTGTCAGAAACCTTATGAACCAACAGAAGAAGAGATCAGGATAAAAAATAAAAGGTATGATACAAATACTTATTCCACCATGGTAATCCTTTCTCCTAAACATTAGCACTGTATTCACAGTATCGCAATTCGAAGTATGAAGTTGGTATTGCCAGGCAAGTATTTTGTGGGGTGGCTTTCACATTTTGGCACTAATTACAGTGCATAAAATGGGCAACTTTCGGCACTACACTTATCCGAAAAATTCAGGCAAGTTTGAAAATAAACTCTAATCTAGACTGTTCCTTCCATACAATACACAAACAAATTTATGATCAGAAAATGCTTTATTTTAGCAGGAATAACAGTGTGATGACAGACAAAGTAAATATCTGTGTATAATGTTGATAAGAAGTCAATCCCTGGTTTGTATGTGACAAGGGCCAGGCTCATGGGGTTTCTTCCAAACTGACCTGGTTGGTGTGCACATTAAACCCCATTTCTGCCCTCTTAAAAATTTTATGTAAGTTATATTGATTGATCGATGATGTTTAATATGATTCTTCTTTCTTTTACAGAATAGCAAAAGCACAAAGAGAAATATTAAGGAAAAAAAGAGAACATTCATTAAAGAAACAAAATCGAAGTTCACCTTCCTTTGGTGATAGCTGATAATGTTTGTGATTGAGTAGAAAAACTAAACAAATAAATATAAACATAGTGATGTTTTTATTAATAGTGTGGAAAAATGGATGATGTTTTAAGCTCTAGTGCTTTTATAAATTGAACAGAGTGAAATCTTGTATGATAAATATGAATAAGTTTTGAATAAAAGTTTAAATAGCAGGGAAAAAACTGGTGTTTAGCAAATGAAACCTTACTGACGGTAATCCGTGTCCATTGAAGAATTAAATAACATAATAGTATACAGCACCATGTGTAGTCCTTTTCCCAAGTAAATTATGTCCCAGAACCCGTCTTCATTAGCCCAGTTTGGAGCAAAACATGAGTAGGACGTTAAACCCCATTTCATTTCATGTCCAAGAACGTCAGTCCTGTAATGGGCACAATGTCAATGAAATCGGCTATATTTATGTTGTCCGTTAATGGTGACACAAAAAGGAATATTCTCTCAAATTTACGTAAGCATTGCAGTGTCATGGTTTGCTAAAAGCTTATTGAGTGTCGGTGATCATTGAATTAAAGGCAGGTTTGGTTTTAGACTTATCCTTTCCCCAACAGTAACCGATTAAGGGGCTAGATTGGCCACTGCCGTTATAATATAACAGGTCCTAAACTTTACCATCGGTCGTTCAAATGAAAATTATGAATGTGTTAAACAAACACTGTAATAGTAAGTGCAGGGGGATTGCACCGCACATAATTTACACAAAAACAAATCTACGGACCGGACTAGACACAATACCAGAAATCACAAAGAAACGTACATATCAAATTAAGTGAATGGATCCGGGGGCTAGCCGTAAGCGCCCACTGCGCTGTACAGTCTCGGGCCTGTAGTGATACGGACTTCACTCAAAATTGAAAACAATCAGGAATATAACCAAGAGAAAACTATTGTGTATTACCAGCATGAGTCATGATCTGCTATATGTCACATGAAAGTAAACATTATCTATACAAGTAGTTTTTTTTATTAAAACACAGGAGTGTTAACTAAATAAAACGATCTTAACGAAGTATGTTTGGGTTTTTAGGTATACAAATTTTAATTTCCCCGAATTATTTCTAACGGTCATATTTTTGTGTGAAGGATGTCGAACCCTGTCCATTTTCAGTGTCTGTGACCTCCAAGAAACATGTTAACGCGGTAGAGACCGTAGTCTTTAGCGGAGGTTTTCCAGATTTGGTTTGAAGCACTGGCTACATTCGAGGACGAAGTCTATAGATGTTCATCGTTCCGCGACCTCTCGCACCGAAGTTACTCCCCCTTTTCCGAAAACACTGTAAATGAACGTGTTAGAGGCAACAGTTTTGAATGATTTTTTAAATGTGTAAGAAGCATTAGGGCTGTGAGAGGATGAACTCTATTGATTTTAAAATTTGGTGTGAAGCATGGGATAGACACTGTTGAATTTCATTATCTTGGATTTTCGGTTTCAGAGATATAATATTAGGTGTGTGGAAAAGCTTTAGTACATGATAGAGATCGGATGTCTTTAAGACATCTTATCAAATCTGATCAACGTCAAAGTTTTCCTGCATTGGTCGAGAAAGTTAATCCAGTTCCCCCCCCCCCTTGTCAGTGATGCAGGACGAAGGGCCTGACAAGCAAAGCTGTCTAGTCGTTCGGATGGGACAAAAAACCGAGGTCCAATGTACACATTGGCGTGCACGTAAACGATCTCTTGATAGTTGGAATTCGATATAAGAGTAGGCCGTAGTGCCGCTGTCCGGGAAAAAGTTCCCTCATAGCACACTGTATGGCGTATGCCCGTCTTCATTAGCCCAGTCGGAGCAGAACAGTAGGACGTTAAACCCCATTTTATTTCCAAGTTTTCCTTTCAAATAAGTTACTGTCTGGCAGTGGGTTTCTGTTGTTTTTTGGGTTGTTTTTTTTGGGGGGGGGGGGGGTCCGAGATATATATTTTACTTTGTCTGGCTGTCGCCTTTGCCGTTGGGTACTTATAGTATAGCTAGCGCGTCATTGTCCAACAATGTTATGATGTCATAACACATAATAATCGCCACCATGGAGGAAGAGAGATATGTGGCTAATATTATCGAGTTTACGGGTGGATTTACAGTCCACGTTGACGAAGATGCAATCAAACCACAAAAGAGAACAAAGAAATCTATTCAAAAGTTCGGATACGTGTTGGGCGCAACCATTGGTACTGGCTCTTATTCAAAAATTAAAATTTGTCACTCAAAGAAATTAAACGACAAAGTTGCCGTCAAGATCGTGCACAAGAAGAGACTTCCTCCAGAATACATCGACAAATTTGTTCCCAGAGAAATAGCAATCCTTCAAAAATTGGAGCATCCCGGAGTTGTAAGTAAAGTTGGTTTAAAATTTCTATTTCGGTTTTTAAAGCGATCTTTTGAGATATAATTCTACAATTCTACGTCATTTGGCAGACAGTCGTGTGTGGGTTACTTCAGCATGCTAGTTTTACCCGTAGAATCATGATATAGATAATGATCTTGTACGCACTGCATCCGACGGCTTTCCGACGTGGTTTCTTCTTGTCAGTGTTGCAGGACGGAGAGCCTGACAAGGACAGTTGTCTAGTCGTTCGGATGGAACGAAAAACCGAGATCCCGTGTATACATTGGCGTGCACGTAAAAGGTTCCCTTGGCAGTTGGAATTCGATATAAGAGTAGGCCATACGCCCATAGTGACGCTGTCCGGGCAAAATTTCCCTCATAGCACACTGTATGACGTATGCCCGTCTTCATTAGCCCAGTATAGGAGCAGAATAGAAGGACGTCAAACCCCATTTCATTTCATTTCATTCGCATCCGACGGATTTAATAATGGCCTCCAGTTGTTAGATTTAGTAGTTTTGGAATTCGTTGGCAACTCACACCGGACCTTCTTTCCCCATGCATCATCCATCATTGCGCTACCTGAAATTAACAAAGTTTTTTATTACTGGGGAAATAATTATTTCAGAACTATTTTTGTCTCTCAAGGTTGTATTATATTTATAGATGCAACTAATAGAGGTTTTTGAGACGGAGAATACTATGTATTTAGTAATGGAGTATATGTCACGTGGAGATTTGTTAGATTATGTTAATAGTGTAGGTAATCTACATGAAGCTGATGCTAGACGACTGTTCCGACAGTTAGTCGATGTTGTAGCCTATCTCCATGGAAACCAAATTTACCACCGTGACATCAAACTTGACAACATTCTGTTGGATCAAAATTATAATATACGCCTATCAGGTAAAATATTTTATTCACAAATTTTCAGAATTAAATACCAGCCGCCGTCTGTTATGTTTTATGTTCATAAGCTTCTTTTAATTATTTGGTTTTAATATTTATATAATTTCTGAAGGTCACAAAACAGATTGAACCCAAACTTCACAGTCTCTGAATAAAGTTGATACGCATACATTTGGGATTTGTTTTTTAATTAAGATTTTGGCTTCTCAAGATTTAACCCACAACGTGAAGAACTACAGACATTTTGTGGATCTTATTCTTACGCAGCTCCTGAAATTCTTGATGGTGAAAAGTACAATGGTGCTAAAATAGATATATGGAGTATGGGTAGGTGAACATAGTTGTGCAGAACACAAATTTAACTTTTATTGTGTTTTCCCCATCTTGTGACATTTTACTTATATTACGATCTATTCCGCTTTTTCAATATGATTGAGAATGGGAGAAAATTTGACCTAATCTCTCACGTAGCATTTGTTCGATTATAGTCAATCGTCGGATGAGGAAAAACAAAACCATACTCACAAACCAGGAATGATTTTTTTTAAAAAAAAGATTTAAAGTAGATGACCACAATATAGAAGAATATGCGATAATAATGCTGCCCTGGCAGTTTTCCAGCAATTTTTTTTTTTTTTTTGATGGAATGTTATACGGCACTGTACAATAATTTCGTGTTTTTTTTACAAAATTGGGTACAATGCCCACTCGATACAAACTAGGTCATTTCGCGACTAACACATGGTTCAATTTTATTTCAATAATTCGCTTGCGCGTAGGGGTCTTTAGCAATGGGAGGAAACCGGATGACCCGGAGAAAACCCACGAGGTGGGAAAGGCGACCCTACTCCTTGTCACGGACAGACCTTATGATACAGCGCACACAGGGCTCACACTGCGCTTTCGATTTTTTTCCGCCAAAAATGATGATAATTTTAATAAAAAAAACAACCACACGTGTTAACCAATCGGCCATCCAACCCCGCTATAATTATAAAATATATGACATAGTGTAGTAATTTGCTTGTTATTATAAGGTGTATGTTTATATGGTATGTTAAATGGCAAACTACCATTTCGTGATACTGATGTCGATGTGCTGAGGGAAGGTATGAAAGAAAAGATCAAATTCTACAAATTTGTATCAAGAGGTATGTTTAATCTTTAAATCGCCCCAATATTACCCCACCCCACCCTCCGACTCAACCAAATGTTCTCTCTACACGGTCTAGGTTATATGTGAGCTGCTCCCACAAAATCAGGCTCTTGGTCATTTTTATAAAAATCGAGCTGGCAGCATATTTGAATAGTCCACAGCCTAAGCTTTCCAAAAATGCAATGCAATTCTTTTTTAATTTGTCATATACATTGTATATATATCATCTGGAGTTGGGTTCGGCTCATTCACAGCAACAAGAAGGCACACAGTTTATGTTTGTTTGCCCGTAGTACAAAATGAAGTTGTACGACAAGCACCTGGTTTCGTGGGAGCGGGTCACATATGATTCCATTTTATCTCAATTGCGTCCGTACTTTGTAACGTACACGCACACAGTTTTTACGCAATACACACCTCTCTCGATCTTCACACCCCTCTCACACTGTACACCCATCTTCCACAGCATACCTTTCTCTCAATGCTGCTGATTACAAATTTTATGTCTGGTCTTAATTAGAAAATCAGCTGATAGCAACATATTTTGCCCTAAAAATAAGCCCTAATTAGGAGTTACAAGGTCCTAATTAGGGGTATCAATATCTCCTTATATTATAACGTAGTATCTCCTAATTAGCACTGTATTTTGCCCAAATACGCTTCTGTGTGTAAGTATAGCTTATATAATATTGTACGTTTTGCTGTTTCTGCATTTTTCAGATGGACGTGATTTAGTACGTGCTATATTAGAGCCTAATGTTAAAAAACGTTATAGTATAAAAGATATAACACATAGTAATTGGATGTGTCGTCCTATTAAAACTGGCGGCACCATGTCAATGTCATCACTGGCCGTAGCAGCAGGTTAGTAATTACATTCAAAAATATCATCAACTTTATTCGCTGTGTGAAATTCAAAATAAATGACGTGGCATCGGATGTTTTTAAAAGAGTAAGCATCCCCTGTCTCGTGAACAAACCCCAACAGTCCTTACAGCTGAATGAAGTAGATCGCGTTATATTCTTCGAGAAGAATTATAGAATTCAATAGAGGGGGTTCAAAGTTGCCCGGTTGATACTATGAATTCGTGCAGGATCAGGGTCTGCCAAGGAACAGCGTCTTGTCGTAGGGATGGGACTAAAACCCATCGTGTACATACAGGCATGCAAGTAAAAGAACCCTTGAAGGTTGGATGGGGATCACGTGGCTAAGTGGGTAAGACGCTGGCTCGCTAGCCTGGAGGTCGGGTGTTCGATCCCTGCATTGGCCGAGAAAGTTCATCCCGATTTTCCGGCGTGGTTTCCCCCTGTCCGTCGTTCGGATGGGACGAAAAACCGAGGTCCCGTGTACACATTGGTGTGTACGTAAAAGATCACTTGGCAGTTGGAATTCGATATAAGAGTAGGCCGTTGCGCCGCTACCCGGGCAAAATTTCCCTCATAGCACACTGTATGGCTTATGCCCGTCTTCATTAGCCCAGGTTAGGAGCAGAACAGTAGGACGTTAAACCCCATTTCATTTCATTTCATTTCATTTTTGAAGGTTGGAATTCGAAATAAAGAGTAGGCCGTAGTGCCGCTATCCGGGGAAAAATTCGCCCCAACGCATACTGTATGGCGTAAGCCCGTATTATATAAAATATTCCCATAATATATTCGTCTGTTATTGTTTATGCACGATAATCAGAAGCATCCTGTTATATGGATGGTGCTTTTAATAAAAACTAGCGGAGTTGTATTCTTTATTTACAGTAACGAGTGAAACCTCCAATCAAGCTAGCTTAGATCTCAATGCCGAGCATGGATTTTCGTGTGCACAGAATACGAAGGAACAAAAACCAAATAAAGTATCTGGTGTACTCAGATCTGTTGCTATCAACCATTCGTAAGTTTTAACATTTTGTTTTCAAATATCATACCAATCCATGCATATCGGGGACTTTTGGTGATATGTGGGTTTACAATGAATGGACGAAGACGGACATACACCGTACAGTGTGTGTTTTACCAGGGAAATTTTGATCGAACAATGGTCAAGGGTTCTATTACGAGCACACAAACGAATACATTGGACCTCGGTTTTTCGTCCTATCCGAACGACCGGGCGCCGTTTCTTGACAGACCTTCCGTCCTGCACCACCGGCCATGGGCGTCACACATGGGGGGGGGGGGGTCCGGGGGGGGGGTCTGAATATACTTGGACCCCCCCCCCCCCCCAAATTTAAATAGTAGGCCGAAACTCCTATTTATTTACAACAATTATTAGGATTAGTTAAGATTCTATCTGTATAAAACCTGTACATATCCCAATATGGTTTACATTGCTATAAACACAGAGATAATCATCCTGGAAACATGTGTGAAGTGAAAAGTACCTGTGTTCCATAAAATTGTGTCTAGTTAGCCTGTCAGTAATATTTTGTTAATTTTTTTCTGCCACTTATCAGAGTGAATCGCATGTAGGTACCCAAAAACATAACCGCCTAAACCAAATATTTATCGCCCGCTCAGCCAGCAACGTAACCATAATGCTTTTGCACGCGGTGTCTTGATAGACAGCATGGCCACATGGTGTTTGTTTATATTTTTTAGGGGTTTTAAAAAATGGGTTAGGGGTTAGGGTTGCGGACCCCCCAATATATATTTCACGGCTACGCCTCTGCCACCGGCAATGCGAAACCACGTTTGAAGATCCAGAGAACTTTCTCTCCTGGTTAGTGACTCAGTTCCTGGCTCTTACACACTGAGCTTCCTTAGCTCTCTTAGGTCAGCAAATTAAAATCCGGGGTCCGTCTTCTGAAAGATGTTGTATTTGGACTCTTAGTGCATACAGGAACAATCGAATAACTATTTTAACATTCATAAATATTTTACACCAGAACTGGTGCGAGCAGTGTGAATTTGGAGAATGTAAAAATGCCGTTAAAGAAAGCTTCATCAATTGAAATGACTACTGGTGTTAGTGGACCTGCAGGAAGACGTATAAGTGTTCAACTCGGAATAATGCCAGGTTTAAATTTTAACTTATTTCACTAAGCCAACTGTTACCGAATATATTTCAGTAATATAATGCAAAGTTAGTAACGCGAATTTATCGTTGTGCTGTTCTGGCTTAGAGGTCATTTCTCCGCTACATCCAAAAATGTACTCAATTTCACTTCAAAACCTATACTATCGTACTTGAATAAAATGTTTAATTCAAGGACACACGGATCCCAAACCAAGTAAAGTGATGATCGAACATGCAACTCTATAAACTGCAAATCGAGATCTAACTGGCTGTTCTGTTTCTCTCCATATTTATAGAATAGAGAGAGAAAGGGGTTTAATGTCCACTTGACACAAACTAGGTCATTTCGGGACTAACATATGGTTCAATTTTCTTTCAACAATTCGCGTGCGTGTAGGGGTCTTTAGCAGTGGGAGGAAACCGGAGGAAACCCACGAGGTTGGACAGGTGACATTACTCCTTGTCACATACAGTGGGGGAATCGAAACCACGCCAGTTGACTCAATGACAGACCTTATGATACAGAGCACACACGCTAACTATTCGGCCATCCAACCCCCCTGTATATAGAATAATATCTACATTATATATGTATATGCATTGAGTGAAGGGTCAGTTGATCAAGATACATAGCTAGGGATATATGACAATTGTGTCAAACCCGCAAAACTGATTAGATCGAATGCCAGGGTTGGAGCAGAAGAGTTGGACGTTAAACCCCATTTTATTTCATAATAGCCCAGGCTATTAAAATGCGAAATTCAATGAAAATTTGATAAATTACGATTATATTATACAATGTAATTTCAGATGTTGCCCCTGAAGTCGTAAAAGCGGAGTCAACATTGACACCGGCTTTGGCACCTATTGCCGAAAAACCAAGTCGTGGATTAGTATCGAAGTGGGGAGCCGCAATGGGGGGAGAAGAGACTAATAAATCGGGAAATGGAAAAGCTAATTTTAAGAAAGCTCTTAAGGCACTGACTAAATTCAAGTGTGTGGTTCAAGTGGTAACCGCAACCAAAAGATTTAAAAGAGGTCCTCTAACTACCATTCTCACTATCCCGCAAGAAAAAGCAATGGAGAGGATGATAGAAAAAAGACACAGTCTACAGTTACAGGATTTCAAGCACCTGGCTCACACAGATGGTGCCAAAGTAGCCAACTTGTGCTCAGCGGACGTTCGCAAAGAAAGTTTACTGAAGAAAAAAAGTTCCCAATTTATGGAAGAGTCGGAGAGACTACGCCAAGAGAAAGTTGAAAAAATGGAAAATACCTTCAATATACTAGGTTCCAGTGTTTAAATAAATGATTATAAGTAAATTTCTATAGGTCTTAGATTTTTCAGAAATAGTGTATTTCGTGTTACTATGAGGGAAGAATTTAAAAGTATGTTTATGATGAAATAATCACTATTATAATCATTACTGAAAATTTTAATTGTGTAACAATTTTTGTTATTTTAATTAATGGTCATGTTTTAATCAATTTTTAATTTAACTAAATTTTTTCAGATGTAAACAGAGGCTAAAGAGGGAGGGGACCCTTCGGGACTAAATCTTATGAATTATCTTTCCATTTCAAAAGTTCTTAAAATGTGAATCCATTTTGATTCAAATACTTTCCAAGTGACATAACATTTTTGTCACAATCCGAATCATTCTTGAAAACCTCAATTATTTGTATGTAACATTACTACTCAAGTGTTTTTCGAGATTAAAATGCTTTCTCCCACGTTGTGTTTCTAACATAGGGAGTAACTCATTTTACGGTGTGTAAATGAATGATGGACATAATCAGCATATATGACCGAACTAGAACCCATGGCAGCAATTTAGTAGGACTTCTAATGTGCCCTGGTCCCCAATAACTATGTCTGGGACGCCTACCCGCTACTTATAGATTTCCATTTTAAAGATCCATTATGGGACATTAGATAAAGAGCTGCCAGTTCTCACTATTATAGTTAAAAACTATCCAAATTGATCCACTCTGAACCGAGATTTTAGCTTTTGAATTTTAGGCCTAGCCTCTCATCATTACTAAAGTCGGTACGATAAAATAAACATAGTCTTGATCATCCATTTTTGGATTAAACCATCAATGAGCGCTGAGCAGCAAATCGGATTCAAATCCAGTAAATATCACAGGCTAGCGATGACATCGAGAGTTGATTATGGTCTTGATATTAATTTAATAAATGTCTAATTAATAATTTAGATAACATTTCAGGCCTAAAGAAAGACCTGAAATAGGCAGATTTAGCTCTTGCATACTATATGTATAAGTTATTTTAGGACAAACATATGGTAAATCTTTATTCAGTATTTTTTCTGCTTTTTCTAGCCTGTGTAAAGGATGCTGTACATTCAAATAGGGGCAAATTGAGACATTAGGGGGAGGGGGTATTTATTGTTCTTTTATCGATTCTATCGGTTTTCAGCTTATTTGCTGTGCACATTTTAGAAAAGAACTGTCCTTAGTTATAGAAGATATCAAAAGGTCTAACAATGGTTCAAATGGATGCTAATGCCTTAATGCTTGGATATGCAGTAAGCTCATGTAAATGTAGTTGTACTGTGAATGATAAATAGAAGGGGAGAGAGAGAGAGAGAAATGGGGTTTAATGTCCACTCGACACAAACTAGATCATTTCGGGACTAACACATGGTTCAATTTTATTTCAATAATTTGCTTGCGCGTAGGGGTCTTTGGCAGTGGGAGGAAACAGGAGAACCCGAAGAAAACTCACGAGGTTGGACAGGCGACCCTACTCCTTGTCACGTACAACCGAGGAATCGAAACCCAGCCAGTTGACACAATGACAGACCTTATGATAGAGCGCACATACTAACCATTCTGCCATCCAACCCCCCATAAATAGAAGGGTTCTATCTGAAGTCTGAAACTCATCGGTATGCCTGATAGATAAATGAAATGAAATAAAACAACTTGTCATATACTTTTTTTATTAAAATTTGAGTAACATAAAATTTTGCAGCACAAATGACCAGAAGGACTTTAATTTCATGACCCCTGAGAACCAACTTACAATAAATTCACAGGGCATGTCCACCATGCATTAATACTGGCACAACAAGTTTAATTCTAAAATTATTGCAATGGATTTCTGATAAAACAAATTCTGTAAACAATAAAAAATGGCACAATATAAGATATCATCTACTACTTCTGTTCACCAGTATCAACTTCAGTATTCTCCTTTCTCTTAGAGCAATAATCTTTGATTTCTGGAGAAGACAAACAGACAAAAATTGGTAAATAAAAAAGGAACACAAGAAACCAAATCAAGTCAAAGAGAGAGAGAGAATTGGGGTGTAATGGCCACTCAACACAAACTAAACTAGGTCATTTCGGGACTAACACATGGTTCAATTTTATTTCAATAATTTGCTTGCAAGTAGGGCTCTTTAGCAGTGGGAGGAAACCGGAGAAAACCCAGGCGACCCTACTCCCTGTCACGTACAACCAGGGAATCAAAATCATGCCAGTTGAATCAATGACAGACCTTATGATACAACACACACAAGCTAACTATTCTGCCATCCAACCTCCTAAATCAGGTCAATGGTCTGATTGTAAATTCTTCCAGGGCGTACTTCATGTTATGAATCACTACACCATTCTCTTGGATTTACTTACTACAAAATTTTTAATAAGTTTGTTAAAATAAAGTGAAATAAATCATTTATTGATCAGAACTATTATAATGCTCAAGATCCGTATAGTCTAATATATTTTGTCAGGGCAGCAGGATAATCTGCCCATGTCTAAATAGACACTATTAAAGAGACATTATCACTCTCACTAAATCAACTGATTATAACAAATCGAGACACAGACTTACTATATCTAGGGGTTGACACGATAGATTTTGCATACAATCTCTGATGTAACTGTATCATCAAAACATGTTTACTTGGCAAAGACATCAAAAGCACTGTGCCTCTTTAAAAGGCATTAGGAACATGATTTTTTTTTTTTTTTTCTTAAAGGACAATACAGATGTCACAGTCTCATATAATAACTTTTGATCTTCGAAGGAATTATCCATGTGTAGAAATTCGCCCATGTATCCGTTATCGCTTGTTACTTCAGTGAGTAGAAGGATAACTCGTGTTTTCCTTTCGTCACTTTTGTTTCTTCAAATCTTCGTTACACATCTCTCTCTGTGTTAAAATTATATTTGAAATGTGTTTAACCAATTCTATCACATATGTGATAGTGACTGGCACCAATATTGTCCTTTAAATAAAACTCATTCCGCCTGTGTCAAAATGTTACTGTTGAAATACCTGGGCCCTTATTCACGAAAACTTAAACTAAGATACAATCGAAATTTTAAGAAATACTGCAATTCGATTGGCTGACCAGTAAAATCAATTTGCATATATCCAATGAAGTTGCAGTATTTCTTAAAATTTCGGTTGTAACTTAGTTTAGGTTTTCGTGAATAAGGGCCCTGATACATTAAAAATAATTTGAGCTTACAACATGCGACTTACTTTCTATAATATCTTTAAATGCTTGTGTTGCTGGTGAATCTTTTACTTCATCAAAGAATGACTTGCCTTCATCACAACATTTACCTAAAACATATAGATATCATTCAATAATAACATCATTATTTATCATATTGTAACTATGAGCTACTATGAAGATGATGTCACAAATTGATAGAAAATTAATTTCATGAAATGAACTCCGGGTTCACATCATCCACCATGATTATTAACATTGTATTCAATCGTGACTTCTGGTGCATATTGAGTTGCAGTTTTTGTCAATCTGGTTAAAGAACACATCTCAATTTTTAAATATTTTTTAAAAATTTCATACTTTCGATTGCTTCCACTTCCACGTTAGTAAAAACAGTTGAAACAAAATTTGTAGAATAAAAATTTAAACAAAACAGGATCCGAATGAGTTTTATGAATAAAAAACAGCATTTTGCTCAATAAATATGATCTTTATTTTGATCAACGAATGAATAAGTTCATATCTCACGGTATAATTACATCATATTTGCCAGCAAAGCCAATACCTGTCACATTTTATATAGCAAAAGTATTAACATCATACACATATTTAAATTTTGAATAAGACACAACAGCTATTTAAAACAATGATTGTACTATTAGTTTTCAGTCCTACCTATTCTAGGGTCTAGAGGTAATTTGCCTAAAAATGTAATATTAGCATCTGCTGCCATTTTCTCTCCTCCACCAGTTGTTGGTGGAAATATCACAGACTCTTTCTGTAAAACATAATAATAATAAAAATATTATAACCCAATACATCCAATAAAATAAGTTTTGTATACTTCAATAAAATGTTCTTGAGATACTTCTTTAGTCATGGAGTACTTCCTATTTGTTATTGCAACACAAGTTTGTAAGAAAACAGCAGAAACAGAGCCCACTTATTATTTTACTGCATATCTTAAGAATTTACTCAACTTTCAATCATTTTTTATGAGAAATATCTTTGATCCAGAAACACAAAACTTTGCACATAGTTTCTTATTGATGTATTTAATACATTAAAACAACAAAAGTTTTATAAAGGGCTATATTTTTAGTAAAAATAAGGCGAATAATTTTGATTAAATTCTTAACTTAAGTCTGAGAATGCTTTGAGAACTCAGAGCCAGATGTCTTAGTAAAAATTTATATAACATTTGAAGCCAGAAAAAAAAAAAAAGATGCAATAGCCAGATTTAGCTCTTGCATAATGCATCGGAGTAATCAACCCTGTTGAATATGTTTTCTACTTACAGTACAGTGAGGACAAACGAAACCACTCATATTCTCTACTACACCAATAATCGGTAAATTCACTTTACGACAAAAGTTGATTTCTTTTCGGACATCTTGTATAGCTACTTCCTGAAAATATTAATAATTTATTTTTTTTCTGGCCACAGTGGTGAAACAAGTCAAAAGACAGTGGGGGTACTCGCATGAAAGTTCTGGAATTGAATTCTCTCAATCCCAAAAATAGTGACAATTGAGTGAAAAGGTGGATTTCGGGCTACAACGCATACGTCGATTGAATAAGTAAATATCTCAACCAACCATGCAGCTGAAACATATTCGTTGTGTTTAATTACGTCACGATTCTACCCACACCACCTCCGTAGTCAGGACTGACAGAACTGTGACAGAACTAAATTCTGCGTCACTTGATTGTAATTCTGTCAATTCGGGATGCTCTGGACTGTGAATCGAGCATCCCCAGTAGTTTGAAAGAAGGGAAATAACTCTTGTCATAAATAGCCTCTGCTCATCAATGCATCAGTTGTAAAATTTGTTCCGATTCCTTTTGAATGTACACATATACTTATATGAATGTATTTGCAAATGAACTACATTATAGAACTTATTTTTGTTTAACTGTACATGCAGGATTAAATCAAATGAATGAGGCTTAAAACTTGGTAAACTAAGTTATCACAAACTGTCATTAGCAGTAGACTTACAATTTTACAAGAACAATAATCTAAGAAATGAAATAAAATGAAATGGGGTTTAACGTCCTACTGTTCGGCTCCGACTGGGCTAATGAAGATGGGCAATACGCCATACAGTGTGCTATGAGGGAATTTTTTTCCAGGCCGCGGCACTATGGCCTTCTCATATATCGAATTCCAACTTTCAAGTGCACACCAAAGTATACATGGGACCTCAGTCTTTCCTTCCATCTGAACAACTAGACAGCTGTCCTTGTCAGACACTCTGTCCTGCACCACTGACAAGGGGAAACCACGTCAGAAAATCCCCAATAACTTTATCAGCAGGGATCGAACACCGGACCTCCAGGCTAGCGCGCCAGTGTCTTACTCACTTAGACACCATGGCTCCCAAATAATCTGAGAAGAATCTCATGATCTGTATCCAGGAAATTGAGTGGATTATACATAGAACTAGATGATAAAATTGTACCTGAGGAGTTGTTAATAATACAGCACCATCTACATGTGTTTGACTAAGATATTGTGTTGTTGATATATGTTCATCACTAGTACCAGGTGGCGTGTCTATAACTAGGTAATCTATATCACCCCAATCTACATCCCGTAAAAACTGTTTGATCATACCTGAAAAATCATAATATAAATTAAGAACACAAAAACATATTCCGGGACTTCAATAAAAGGTGGCTTGCTATAAGTCGAGGAAGTCAGCATAGCTTCCAGCAGACTGTCCTAACCAATCCATTTCATAAGTACAACATGATTGTGAGAAATTCTCTATAGACAGTTCAGTTATTTTTTTTTTTCAAATAAAAATTGAGGTATTTCAATCCAGGTAGAGATTTATAAAATAAAGTGTTATTTTCAGATATTTTTTTGCATTGAGTCTACACCACTGTAACCACCCCAATATTTCCTGAGCAGTTATTATAAAAACCATTTATTTTTTATATGGAATAAATTATGCAATGGAGTGAACCCCTATCTAATTATAAATAAATTTTTACCATTTTTCTTTGGTCCTCTCCATATAACAGCATCATCAGGTCCCGATAAAAGAAAACCAACTGACATTACAGCAAGGTTATCTGTAACATACTATAAATCATGTGTCTGTTTAAAATTTATTTCAATATAAGTCATTATTGTCATCATTGATTCAGATTTCATTTTACGTTTCTGGTAACAAATTTTATTGACCACTACTGTTATATACAATTTACTGGGAAACAATCAGAAGCAAATAAATTTCAGTTACAGGCCTTTATCAGGCTTGTCGCTTAATGATAATCAATGATAGTATTTGTTAAACATACATTATGCAAGAGCTGAATCTGCCTATTGCAGGTCTTTCTTTATGCCTGAAATGTTACCTAAATTATTAATTAGACATTAATTAACTTATCCAGACCATAATCAACTCTCGATGTCATCACTAGCCTGCGATATTTACTGGATTTGAATCCAATCTGCTGCTAAATGCCCATTGATGATTAAATCCAAAAATGGATAATCGAGACTGTTTTTTATCATATATCATCATACTGCCTTAGTAATGATGATCGAGGCTAGGCCTCAAATTCAAAAGCTAAGATCTTGGTTCAGAGTGGATCAATTTGACTGAAATTTTCAGCAAATTCCCTTTACATTATCTAGTTTTTAACTGTTATAGTGAGAACTGCCAACTCTTTACCTAATCTCCCATAATTTCCCTTTGACTCTATCCAAAATTGTTTTCTTGCGTCCAAAAATAACTCTTAATTTCCAGTAGCTTGATTAAAAAAAAAAAAAATAGCTGGAGGCTAAAGAAAACTGAATTCAAAATTGGCTGTATATCTTAATTTTTAATAAGATTCTTCAGTGGCGTGCAAAAGTTTAGTGGTGCCTGTGGCCATTTCCTTGATTGTCTGACCCCCAAATTCAAGCATTGGGTCTAGTACTCAAAAATATGAGAAAAGAAGACATTTTAAATATGTAAAAACAGATGAAATAAGCTTTTTATTAAATTAAATACAAATTAGCCACATTACCACTACTTTTTATTATCTTATTAATCAGCATTAAAAAGAGAGATAGGGAGGGAAATTGGCTTTAACATCCACTCAACACTAACTAGGTCACATACGGGACATAATACAAACTTTGAGGTCTTTAGCAACTAGAGGAAAACTGTTGGACAGAAGACCCTACTCCTTGCCATGTAGAAGCGTGGTATCTAAACCACAATACGTACAAGCTTGGTATCTAACCCATACAGCTTGACTCAATGACAGACCTTATATTCTAAAATGCATGTTTGATCATTATACCAGCTAACACCTCTTAATCAGCATTAGTCAGTATTCAATCTAGGTGGTATAAGCATTACATGCATACCAACAATGAAATAATTCTAAAAGTTTATCTATAAATAATTTAAGAAGGAATCAAGTCTGGTAACCATGGAGGGTGGGGTAAATAGGTGTATAAAAGTGTTAAATTAGATATATATCATGTAACTATAACAAAGTAATCAACGACATCTCATCTACAAATCAACTACTTCATTTATAATACATCTCTAATGTTTCATGTAAACACTACAACATTTAATTATTTACCCCTCCCTCTTCCCTAGCACAAAATAAACCGAAGGCCAGTGCTGTCTCTACCATAAGATTAGGATATTCTATCACACACTGTTGGTATTTATTATACGCCAACCATTCCATGTGAAAGTATATTGTCGTCGCCCCTGTCCGTCCGTCCATGTGTTTGTTCGTCTTTTCAAATTTTGTTTGTGGACACTCTACAGGTCACAATTTTTATCAGATTTCAAACTAAACTTAATATATAGGTGTATCTCCCAAAGATTTCGGTTCCTTTCGAAATTGGCATGTATCGGACCGTAACTACACGGATTATGGCCCCTGATTGTACGAAAAATCATGTATTTAGCTTGTTGACACTCTAGAGCTCATAATTTTTATCCGATTTTGACGAAACTTGAAATGTCAAAATCAGATAAAAATTGTGACCTGTAGAGTGTCCACAAACAAATTGTGACCTGTAGAGTGTCCACAAACAAATTGTGACCTGTAGAGTGTCCACAAACAAATTGTGGACAGAGGTCCGAACGGACAGGGGTGACGGCAAAATACGTCCATATGAAAAAGTGGGCATATAAAAAGCACATTTATTTTTAGCTTGTTCTCTGTCCATCTCTTGCAAATTGCGGGCTTATCATGCCTGGCAACCACTGGTCATGCATAACATGGTCATATCTCATTATACAATCAATTATCAATGATTTTTAATTAGTCACGGTTTTAAAATCAGTGCTTATCTGCTGATAATTTCTCTTTTAATAGTTACTTTTTCTTCTAGCTTAAAATAAACTGAAGGCCAGCATTACATGTAACTCTACCATTCTCTTGTGTCACTATGGCCATATTTTATCATGCTTGGTCAATATTTACCATAATATAAAGTCATTATCATCTGTCAGTGATTATTCAGTAGTCATTATCGTTTACAAATTATCAGTTCTTTATATAATAACCTACTGACAATGGAAACCTGATCAACATTTGTAACACAGTGTTACAGGCAAATAAATGAATGGTGTGTGACATCCTCCCAACACAACTAGGTCATTTATCATTTAAAGGTATGATGACAGTCTGTAACATATACTTACTATCCAGAGAGAGAGAGAGAGAGAGAGAGAGAGGGTTTAACTCCACCCGACACAAACTAGGTCATTTCGAGACTAACATATGGTTCAATTTCATTTCAGTAATTTGCTTGCACGTAGGGGTCTTTAGCAGTGGGAGGAAACCAGAGGACTCAGAGAAAGCCCACAAGGTTGGACAGGTGACCCTACTCCTTGTCATGTACAAGCGAGGAATCAAAACCACGCTAGTTGCTTCAATGACTTCCATCCAACATAACTAGGACATTTACATTGTATCATCTAGAGGTATGATGATGATAGTCTGTAGCATATCCTTACTATCCAGAGAGAAAGAGAGAATGGGTTTAACCTCTACTCGACACAAACTAGGTCATTTCGGGACTAACATATGGTTCAATTTTATTTCAGTAATTCGCTTGCACGTAGGGGTCTTTAGCAGTGGGAGGAAACCGGAGGACCCTGAGAAAACCCATGAGGTTGGACAGGCAACATTACTCCTTGTCAGGTAAATCCGGGGAATCGAAACCACGCCAGCTGACTCATTGACAGACTTTATGATACAGCGGGCACGTTATCCATTCGGCCATCTAACAACTCCCTTACTATCCAGGTCCTCAAAAAAGCAGAATGGCGACATAAGACGCATCAATGTGCTGCACTTTTGATTGGCTCTGCATGTATCCCTGTGTCATCACATAATATGTGACAGCACACAACGATAAGTATCTGTTGTGGCCTGTGGGTCATGGATAGTAAATTTGTAGTGATATGTTATTGACCATGGTTATGCTAAGATGGTCATATCCAGAATAGCCCATAAAAATCATTGAGTTCAATATAATTTTGTTGCAGTGGAAGGAAGCCTTACAATCCAGAAAACAATAAAATCCCGGCATATGATAAAGAAGGCTATTTTTCTACATGGCCACATATTGTAACTGCATGATTAAAAATATCACCTGAGAATATAATGGTTGTTATCTCAAAACTAACAAATTTAAAAAAATAGAAAAAGAGAGAGAGATGGGGTTTTAATGTCTACTCAACACAAACTAGGTCATTTCAGGACAAAAATATGGTTCAATTTTATTTGAATAATTCACTTCTGCATAGGTTATTTAACAGTGTGAAAAACTGGAGGCCACAGAGAAAGCCCACGAGGTTGGACAGGTAATCCTACTCCTTGTCACATACAGATGGGGAATTGAAACCACGCCACTTGACTCAATGACAGAGCTCTTGCTAGACCCCCCCCCCCCCCAATAGCGTAAAAGGTCTTATATCTAATAGAAACTTACCACAGGAGACCATCCTGAAGCACTCTGATGAACCTTTAATGAAAAGATTGATGATAATTTACTAACATACTTAATAATTAAATATACATCGAATCAAACTTTTATCCACTGGCATACTGTTATGACAAAGGTCAACGGCAGACATATTCCAGATATTGTATGGTATGCTATCCAGGGTGTGCAAACTCGAACACTTAAAATTCCAGGAGTTTTCCAGGAGTTATTTACCAGATTCCAGGAGTCCCTGTATAGAATTCTACCTAATTATGTATTTTTTTTACGCTTGGAGAACATTTAGGCTATGAACTCGTGAACCTTTGAAGAAACATTCAATGACAACGTTAAGTTTTATATCTTAAAATATACAGCGAAACCACGAATGCTAATTTTCCAGGAGTTTCAAGGAGTAATCTTGTTTTTCCAGGATTTTCCAGTACTGGAAATAACATTTTCATTTTTCCACGATTTTCAAGGAGTTTCAAGGAGTGTACGAACTTGCTATCCAGTCCCTTAATTTAACACATGGCCTATAAATATGAATATAAATAATATTATACCTGTTCTCCTTCTAGACCCAGTATTCTAGGTATTGATGGGCCACATATATCAACATCTAATACACCAACCTGAAAAATATTTATACATAATATAATATAAATTTATGTCGTCGGAGCATTCCATAAGAAATTGTTTAAATTCAATAGCCTTCTTCATTTCACTAGTTTGAACAATGCATATTAATTTCACACTGATCAGATAATCACTTGGGTTGTTACAGTGTTCACAAGATTTTACAAAGTGATCCGATGATAAGTACAGTGTTAATAACGAACTGACAATCAGCATGTGGACAGGGGCGATGATAGTATACGTCCATTGCCATGTGAGCTTATAATAACAAAAATAAAATAGGATCTGTGTTTTAATCAGATTGCCAATCTCAGAATGACTAAAAACCTCAACTTAGTCATAGCTCAGGATATTTACAAGTTCGGAAGTGAATTGGCAGCTATGTTAAAATTTGAGTAATGACATTATACTTTTACTGCAATTTCTAATTATTTAACTGGCTTTACATTGGAATAATAATGCAAGAGCTAAATCTGCCTATTGCAGGTCTATTTTTTGGCTTTAAATAATAATTAGGCATCTATTCACAAGACAAGCCTTTTATCCACTCTTTAGACGATCGATACTAAATGATAGACCCACAATTTAAGCCTGATAGACGAGACTTCATTTTTTATCATAGCAATGGTAATTGAAAATCAAGCCTGTCTTGTCAAATCTTAAACACTCATAACTTTGCTGAGAATAAAGTAATTTGATTGATATTTTCAATATATTAAAGATACATTATGGGAGATTAGATAAAAAGCTGGTAGTTCTCACTATAATAGTTAAAAATCCTGAACTGAGTATTTAGCGATTGAATTTTGGGCCTAGCCTCGATCATCATTACTAAAGTCGGTACAATAAAAAACATAGTCTCGATTATCTATTCTTTTATTTTAATCAGAAGCAGCAGACCGGGTTCTAATCCAGTAAATATGTAGGCTAGCGATTCCATCAAGAGTTGATTAAAGTCTGGATAAGTTAATTAATGTCTAATTAATAATTTAGATAACATTTCAGGCCTAAAGAAAGACCTGCAATTGGCAGATTTAGCTCTTGCATAATGTATGTTTAATTTTTCATTATGTACAGTACATGTATTCTTGAACTATTTTAGCAAGAACAGCTGAGCTAGCTCTTTATCTAAATCTTACATAATGCATCTTTATTTATCTTAGCCATTAAACATCCATATTGTCAGTATAAACAAGCCAACAGTGAGGCTGATGTCCCCCGCCAAAATACCAAAATAAATAGATGACACATTAATTTATCGCACATTTATTTTTTTTAAAGTATCAAGCAATCAAACTGATTATCAACTATACACTTAAGTTTCATCACTCTCTATCAAAGTTATCTTGTCCTAAAGCATCAACCAACAAGGCATTGACCTAATCAACACATACACCAAGTTTGAACATTCTAGCTCAATTAGGAAGAGAGTTATCGTGCCCCAAAGTATCAACCAATCAAATTGCTTATCTCTGCTTACCCTAAGCGGAAAATGCTCATCTTCGAACTCCATCAAGGCATTGACCTAATAAACACATACACCAAGTTTGAACATTCTAGCTCAATTAGGAAGAGAGTTATTGTGTCCCAAAAAGTGTGACGGACAGACAGACGGACAGACAGACAGACAGACGGACGAACCCATTTTAATAGTCCCCTGCTTTCTTCGAAAGGCGGGGGACAAAAAACAGTGAGATTACATCAAACCACCTGTGTACTCGTTGCAGTGCACATAAAAGAACCCGTAACAGTTGCAATCAAAAAAGAGTAGGAGGAAATGATGCCTTTCGGGCATAATTTTGCTCACAGCACATTACATGCCTGTCTTCATAAGCCTCATTGGCCGAGAAATTTCGTCCAGATTTTCCGGCGTGGTTCTCCCTTGTCAGTGATGCAGGACGGAGGGCATGAGAAGGACAGCTGTCTAGTCGTTCAGATGGGATGGAAAACCGAGGTCCCGTGTACACATTGGTGTGCACATAAAAGATCCTTTGACAGTTGGAATTTGATATAAGAGTAGGTTGTAGCACCGCTATCCAGGCAAAATTTCCCTCATGGCACACTGTATGGCGTTATGCCCGTCTTCATTAGCCCAGTCCGGAGCAGAACAGTAGGACTTTAAACTCCATTTCATTTCATTTCAGTAGCCTTGTTTGTGAGCAGAAAAGTAGGATGTTAAGCGGCTTAACTTAAGCCCCATTTCAATTTCTTTGAAACAGCAGTCTATTAATTAAAACTATATTCCCTGAAACCCTAAATGTTTATTGATGAGATTTGTTAGTAAAACTCTTACGTGTGTATAATAGGTGTAAACTAATAAATAATAGACTAGTTTAATACAAGCTAGTTATACATATTTAATAATCAACGTGTGTCTGGCGTGCAATATTAACTTAACATGACAGAGTAAAACACAATAAGGTCATTAATTTTCAAGACTAACATCGTAAACATTAGGTTTTTCAGTAAGGCGAGTAAACTGGAAAATTAACACAAAAAAAATAAAATAACAAAAAACAAAAAAAGTTACATAATGTTTAATATTTTTACAAGCAACTTGAAATTCTAGTTACTAAATACTGCAATAATAGGCATTAGCTCTTTTTAGATAAGAATAAATTGTCCTATTTGATTTGACAAACTGTTCATCAGTCTGTGGGACACAGGTATTTTAAGATTAACATAATAGTTTATAATTGTATTCAAGGAGTTCAGCAGCCACTTGTGTACGAGGGCCATTATAAATGCTTAGAATTTTCTATATCACTAATCATGATCAGGTGGACTCCTGGGTTATTTTAACCATGATATAACATAAAATTAACACTTTTATTTCCAGTTGAAGTGATTGTATAGACTAATTCATTAATGAGGGGGATTCTTACTTAATAAAGGGAAATCCCTAAAATAGATCATCCCACTATCCAATGTTTAATGTACATGTCATAATGTTGTTCACTTTTATCTTATATATAAATATATATATATTTTTTCAATTTTTTATTCAGATTAATATCTGAAAAGGGATTGGGGAACAGTCATAGCCTATATCAAACCCCTCTCCCTCAATATATTTGAAAAAGGCCACCTGTTTTATTCAGATACCAAGACGTACATGTACAAAAACATTTTCATTCTTTATTAATATTTTATTCTCAATGCATATACATGTACATGTACTTCAATACAGTACTAAGTATATCCTTAATAATTTAATCTACAAAACATCAAACAGTAAAATCATTCAGACTTAATTGAGTTCTGAAAATACAAGTGAATAAATTGATATTAATACACTGACGAAATTCTCTTCTTTCATATACTGTTATAATCATTCTTTCAGTTATTCACCTGTGCTAATATCACTGTTATCATTCTATGTTAACAGGCAGTCAACCGAGTAAAAAGGGCGTGACATCGGTGACATCTTAATCCCCGAAAAAAAAGAAGAGATATTGTTAGCCTATGGTAAATAACATAGTGGGACTTATGGGTAAAGCAGACGTTTGTCGCTATGGACACAACTAGTGTTGTTTAAGTCTGCTGGTTTCATGGTAACAGTGGCTTTTATATAGGGTAGAGTGTATGAATCTACGTGTAGGTGACTTAATGTGCTCGGGCTACAGTACTTAGGAAAGTTTTCTATTCATATAGATATTACAATTAAAGGTAAGCAATAGAACACAGCTTAACAATAGCTAATGTCTTTTCACCAGTGACTTAAATCTTACTATTAAGATCATATCATTGATATATATACCTTAACTATTAAAGTCAAATAACTTATTATTAACATAATAAAAATAGATATATTATATACACCGGTAATCATTTTATTCCTCGGTAACATAACTTTTAAAAAAACATTTGTTCACATCTATAGGATATATTGCAAAGTTAATAGAAGTTTAACTGATAGGCCATTTTTTTTCCCTCGCAAAATTTCTTTTACATTTTAAACAGTTACAAAAATTGAAATTATAAACATTTTTGAAAAGAATAAAAAAAAGGTATATATGGGTGACAAGGGTACAGATGTTTTGGAAAAACTGAAATTAATATTGTAAGATTGTGTGATATTTACACTTTTATAGAACCAATATTACATGTTTATCGGTAATATCACCTATAAATCAAACAAGGGTTTTAGTGTTTATAGTTGAAAATTATACAGGTACATAAGGCAGCCTACTCTGTGTGTTTAAGGGGGTCTAAATCAATACACTATATCATAATCACATGTAATACAATAAATCTCTTTTTATATAAATACTTTTAAAATATGTACATGAACATTAGATAAGTAGACAAGTTGCTTTGTTGCATGTAATAATATAGTGTTACAATCACTGGGCCATATCTTAGAATATGTCTAAAAGTTCTGTGCTGTTTGGTATAGAGAGAGAGAAATAGGGTTTAACATCTACTTGACACAAACTAGGTCATTTTGGGACTAACATATGGTTCAATTTTATTTCAACAATTCGCTTGCACGCAGGGGTCTTTAGCAGTGGGAGGAAACCGGAGGACCCGGAAAAAAACCCACGAGGTTGGACAGGCGACCCTACTCCGTGTCACGTACAACCAGGGAATTGATGACTCAATAACAGACCTTATGATACAGCACGCATGTCATAACCATTCGGCCATCCCCCCCACCCCTGTTTGGTATAACAATATCAGGAAAGATCCCATACCAAAACTGATAAATAGTTGATTTATTAAAAATGATTTGTCAACTGATCATGCTGCTGATCACATTGCCCCCCTGTATTGGTACAATATGTTAATATGAACCTTTATCAGGGAAGTAGCAATACAATTGATAACTGTAACATGAGAATTTAATACAACCTACAAATTCATGTGATAAATGCGATCAATCATTAAATTCAATAAACCAGTGGTTTTACCCAACATAACAACCTCCACACGGAACAATAACCAGTGGTTATTAATCAATGTCATTGATAACATTAGAGTGATGTCATTATATATACTACCCTTTATATTATACATGAAAATTACAAGAATCCACTTAATTTAGACAAGAGTAGAGCATGTATGCATTTACATGTATCTTGAAAAACTTAGGTCAAATATATTTCATTATATGTACATTAATTTCAAAATGTGCACATAGCAAGAAGTGCAAGAACCCTATATTATCTGCATACTCTCATGACTTTCATGGTAGACTGTCAGATACATGTATATATACTATAGAAATGATCAATGGTATTTATAAACCCCCTAAAATTAAAACACCACCGTGAGTTGTGAGTATATGGGAGAGAGTTAAGAGAACCAAGGGGGCTAATCTAAATGAACAGTTCTTGGCTTACACTGGATTTTTAATCAAGCTCAGGACCCTAATCATAAAAATAGACCCAATTCCATAATCACTTAAAATTCCTTTTATTATTCTGTATTTTTGGTTTTAAATGGGACTCAACTTTATTTAAAAACTGACAAGTTGTATCAATAGGTTAATTGTTTTAGTTTTGAACAGCAAATGAAAACGCAACAGTTCTAATCACACCAATATATCGTATACTGATCTATAAATAAAGCCCAAGTCAGGTGCATAATACAGCCCACATCAGTTCACTCCTACTATACAGTCTTGTCAAGTTCGTTGCTTGGGGAATATTGTCTCAATCTGATTAAAATATAGATCTATATTTCGTTTCATTTTTTTATACTTTCGATGGCCTACACTACACGAAGATCTGACCGGTTGTAGTAATTAGTCAATCAGTGTTGATGTTTCTATTGGTTCACCCATACTTTCGTGCATCACACGCCATGAAGTAGCCGCACCCCACCCCACCCCCCTCCGCCCACCAGATTTGGTGAACAGCCCATTTTTCGACAGTGTATTTCCATTTTTCCGGGCACAAACCATCAGGGAGAGAGAGAGAATTGGGGTTTAACGTCCACTTGACACAAACTAGGTCATTTCGGGACTAACACATGGTTCAATTTTATTTCAATAATTCGCTTGCGCGTAGGGGTCTTTACCAGTGGGAGGAAACCGGAGGACCCAGAGAAAACCCACGAGGTTGGACAGGCGACCCTACTCCTTGTCACGTACAACGGGGGAATCGAAATCCCGCCAGTTGACTCAGTGACAGACCGTATGATACAGCGCGCGCGTGCTTACCATTCGACCATTCACCCCCCCCCCCAATCATCAGGGAATGAGACTATACATGTATATCATAGAAATATAATTGTATAATTGTAAAATGAAATCACTCACGGTTAATGTTTTGAATACTATAATACATAAGTGGAGCTTTGTCGAAAACTCATTTTAGTTAATGATTGATTCATTCTGAAAACTTGGGTGACAAATAAGCCTCAGCCCCGCAACTGAGATTGGCCCCCTCTGCCTATGGAACAGGTAAAATAAGATCTTAGCCTCCAGTTGCATAATAACCCCACAGAAAATTAGGTAATTAAATATGTAATTAAATAGATCATCAACCACTGATGAGATTTTTCTGTGGCAAGGTACAGCCTCTAGTTGTTCAGATAGGATGGAAAAACCAAGTTCCTGTGTACACGTTAGGATGCATGTTAAAGAGCCCTTGACAGTTGCTGCCCCCCAACCCATCGCCTCACACTGTGTGTTCTTGCTAACATCTTGTCTCTTGTTGTATAAGAATGATGTGTCAATTATCATGGGTCTTGCGTTAAAATCTGTATTATATAAAACAGGCTTTGTTTGATGTTTCTCATTAAGTATTATTTCACATTAAGTACTTTTCCCAGCCATTGGATCATATCTAGGAACATGTATGAAGAGGCAATATTTCTTTAAGAACATAAATTCAACCAAAAGATAAGATGAGAATTTACATGTAAAACATACATTTGGTACTTGTATTCTATTTTGCAAGAGGAAAAGGAGAATATATATTTTATGATAATTTATAACATGGCAATAATATATAATACAACAGATATTATTGATTAAACCAATAATATTAAGATCTTTTCAGTTGTAGTGGGAGATCGTATCAGGGGTCATGCGAGTGACTTTTGACCCTGTGATGTCAGCCATTTGATTAACCAATCACCGTTGGTGTTCTAAATGGCTATTAGGAAATACAACTTTTGCTTTGTTTTGTATCACTGCAAATGTTTACCCACAGTTCCACAATAAGAAATCTACTTGATTGACCATTCGATTGGCTTATCCCTCATATCACCAAGAAAGCATATTATTTAACAACTCTCCCCGATACTGAAATTTCTTCCAAAGAGAGAGAGAGAGAAATGGGGTTTAACGTTCACTTCACACAAACTAGGTCATTTCGGGATTAACATATGGTTTAATTTTATTTACATAATCCGCTTACGCGTAGGGGTCTTTAGCAGTGGGAGGAAACCGGAGGCCCCGGAGAAAACCCACGAGGTTGTACAGGTGACCCTATTCCTTGCCACGTACAACCGGGGATTCGAAACCACGCCAGTCGACTCAATGACAGACTTTATGATACAGCGCGCGCACGCTAACCATTCAGCCATCCAACCCCCCTTCTTCCAAAGAACTTTTAATGCGTGATAGACGGACAATAACAATAATCTTTTTACTGCACAATATGACTAAGAAGTCATAAAATATTAATTAGAAACAATAGTCCAAATTCTCGCTCTTTATAGTCTTTTATTTGTCTGTCCTTCCACCTGTCTGTATTGATATTTTAAACTTCTATGATACCATGAATGAAACATTGGGCTGACCTTAAAAATATCTTTGTTTCGCCTAACGCGACCGACTAACTAAAACCACCCCCGACTTAAATTATTTTATTGCACTTTTCCGCGATCTTTTTATTTTATTTTGTGTGTCAATCTGAAATATATCACGAGAGTTATTTCCCTTTACTATGGCTACGGTTTGATTCATTATTGAAACTGGTTGATCAAGACGAAAGCGTCATAGGTGTCGCTTCTCGACAAAATGGTTGCAGACGAAAGCACGTCCATTCCCACTATGGCTACGGTTTGATTCATTATTGAAACTGGTTGATCAAGACGAAAGCGTCATAGGTGTCGCTTCTCGACAAAATGGTTGCAGACGAAAGCACTTCCATTCCCACGAAATGATTCTGCCTCTATGTCTGTGGGGCGTCGTTTTAAACATGACGACGATATTTTCAATATCCGTTTTCGAGAAAAATGAAGGCACAACCCGCACGATCGTTAAAAACGTGTTGAGGGAGTTTCAAACGTGAGTTTGTGGCAATTTGTGTGCGAGTCGTGCATCAAGAAAAATCCCGATGTCATTGATTTGTTTGCCAATAAAAGAAGACGAATGTTTGCACCCGAAAAATTATCAAGCTGTCAAATTAGCTCTTAAAAAAAAAATCTGAAAAAAAAACCGACCTACCGACCCTTCTCCTCGATTGTGGGTCGGGTTTGGTGAAACAAAGATATTTTTAAGGTCAGCCTTGTGGTATTTTCTTTGGCACAATTTTCAACATATAAGTCGATAAAGGTGTAGGATGTGTCTTTGGAATTCAGCATAAGCGATTATATTTTGAATAGGTATATTTTGTGATGTTATCAGTGCTAAAGTTCTTGAAAACACTAGAACCATATTGAAGGTACATGTACGGACAAAGCAAATGGACTATCGCCTGGTTATCAAATAGACTTCAAAATCTCAATTGGCACAGAAAATGATCTTGTATATAGTAACATGATCTTTGAGGATTAAACAATTGTAAGGGATTAAACATACATTATGCAAGAGCTAAATCTGCCTATTGCAGGTCTTTCTTTGGGCCTGAAACATACATTATGCAAGAGCTAAATCTGCCTATTGCAGGTCTTTCTTTAGGCCTGAAAGGTTATCTAAATTATTAATTGGACATTAACTTATCCAGACCATAATCAACTCTCGTTGGCATCACTAGCCTGCGATGTTTATTGGATAAGGTTCCGATTTCCTGTCCAACTTCCATTCATAAATTAATGAAGAAATGGATAATCAAGACTATGTATTTTATCGTACGGACTGTAGTAATGATGATCGAGGCTAGGCCGAAAATTAGATCGCTAAAATCTCGGTTCATAGTGGATCAATTTGACTGAAATTTTCAACAAATTGCCTTTACATTATCTAGTTTCTAATTATTATAGTGAGAACTGTCAGCTCTTTATCTAATCTCCCATAATGCATTTAAAATGTACCGGTATTTTAAAAATTATCTTATTAAGTTGAAAATATTCATTTTTATCTAAGAACAGTTATACATTGTTTACTTGATAAGAAATTTTGAGCTGTAAAATGCATACATACATGTATGACACATTACTATGGCAAATAAAACAAACTTACTACTGTTTTAATTATCTATCCCTATTTCATCAAGAAATGGTTGGTTTCAGGGGGCATTTTCTTTCAAATTAGTAAATAAAACTTTGAGGACTGATATTGTTTTTTTGAAATTGGGGCTAATTTGGCAAGAAAGAGTGCAATCTGATTAAAACACAGATCCTATTTCGTTTCGTATTTTATAATTCAAAATTTCGTTTTACTTGTCTTTACTACATTAGGATCCAAAAGTGTTGTTATATAACCCACTTTCTGGATAATGTGAGAGATTAGCCAATGAAATGGTCTGTTACGGCAGGTTTTTGGCATGAGGTACACGAAACATCAACACTGATTGATTAATCAAATGTCTGACGTCATAAGGCCAAAAGTCACCTGCATGACCTCAGATTCGACCTTCCACTAACACCGGTCAGATCTTCATGTAGTATAGGCCATTAGTAGTATCAAAAAAAAATGAAACGAAACATAGATCTGTATTTTAATCAGATTGGAAAGAGTGAATATTTCGGAACTTCATACTATATAAATTTGTGATTATAAAAGTCATACCTGTTTACTTTCATCAGCTGCTAAACCATGTGCCAAGTGAGCAGTAAATGTACTTTTACCAACACCTCCTTTTCCAGATAAAACTAATATCTTATGTTTAACAGATGTCAACCTTTCTTTTATATTTGCTATATCTATAAACAGAAAAATAACAACAATTATTAGATAAGGATACAAATTTGTGAATCAATATTATCATAACTTTGTTACTGTATAGGTCTGTTTTAGCTTTTAAGAACTGTGTTGCTACCCCTCAACCTACAAATTAATTACCAATTTATTTCAAAAATAAAATCGATTTGACAATATCCCGAACTATCAATGTAACCTGTACTTTTCTTGTTCTTTGAGAAAAGATTTCATAAAATTGTCGACTGATTATATACCGTACCTGGATCAGGCCCTTGTGGCTTTGTTGAACATAATGTTTGATTAGGACATCCTTGACAAGCAGATGCTTTACCAGCTTCTCCACTACCAGTACCAGGACATTCTGTAACATAAACAAACACCTTGTAAGATTGAAATTGAAGTTTGGTGAGGATTGTTTGGGGGCGGAGGGACAACATTGCAAAATAGTAAAATAAATATACTAGCAGACTATATCTGAGAATATTTCTTAAAGGTACTTGTAATTCAATGCTTTGTTTTGCCTAACAAACCCATTAAACAGTCTAAAACCTTCTGACATCATTTTCATTGTGCAAGAGTTAGTAACAAATTGTGAAAATTCCATAAGACATATATCATGCACTCCCACCCTACACACCCCTTGACATTCTAAAAACTCTAGCAATCTTGGGCTCTTCTAATTACCAGTACTGCAAATTAAAGTACTGATATACTTAGAGTAAGGAATTGTGTGCAAACTTTCCCTAAAATTCTAGAAAATCTCTAAAAACAATTGTACACGTATACAACTCATAAATTCAGTTAAAATGTTTATGATCAAGAGATATGACTCAGCAGATTTGTCTCAACTGTTGCATGAAATCAAATTTGAACATGCATGATGTAACTGTGTACAGTCAAATCATGTCAAAATTGAAAACGTTATGTTACAAAATTCTTGAAAATCACTAAAAAATTTGTACGACTCATAAATTCAGTTAAAATGTTTATTTCTCTAGTCAAGAGATATGACTCCGCAGATTTGTACCAAATTTTGCATGAAATCAAATTTGAATATGCATGATGGAATTGTATACAGTCAAATGACAAAATTGAAAAAAAATAAACTTTTTGCCAACTTGCCATAGTCTGCGGGTTCTTTCAACAAAATTTATAATTGAGAGTAGTCTAGAATGAGGGATGTACAAATTCAAGATTATACAGGAAGTCTATATAAATACCATTTTTCATAAAGAAAGATATGATTTCTGCTTTAAAGGTCAATATTGGTGTTAGTCATTATCACATTACACATATGTGATAGAACTGGTTAACACGTTCCAAATATAATTTTAAAACAGAGATCATTGCTATGATAGATGTGTAACGAAGATTTGAAGAAACGGAAGTGACGAAAACAAAAGGAAAACATGAGTTATCCTTCAATATAAATGACTGAAGAAACGAGCAATAACAGACACGCTGATAATTCCTTCGAAGACCAAAGCTTGTTATATGAGACTGTGAGAGGATATCTAACAATTAAAAAAAACTGACTGTCAATAGATAAGAGTAAATGAAAAAAATAGAAAATGTATGTGCATTACCATGTTTTTATTTAAGTACCAGTATAAGTATAGAATGAATAAAAACAAGGGAATGTACAGACTATTTCTATTTTACTCGATTTCTCTTATCTAGTGACAATGCATTCAATTATTTTTTTGAATTGTCAGATATCCTCTCTCACAATTTCATATAACAACATTTGGTCTTCGAAGAAATTATTAGTGAGCAGAAATTCGCCCGTATATCTAGCTGTTATCAATCGTGTATCTGTTATCAATCGTTACTTCAGTTATATAATTCGAGTTTCGTCACTTCCATTGCTTCAAATCTTTCCTACACATCTATCGTAGCCTTGATCTCTGTGTTAAAATTATATTTGGAACGTGTTTAAACAGTTCTATCACATATGTGATAAAGGCTGACACAATTATTGTCCTTTAATATTTTCTGTCATGGATTTCGGCAGAGGTCTGACACCTGATGGGCATGGCTAATGCGGTTGGCGACTTATTTGACTTACTTTCAATGCATGAGTAGGGCATTACTCAAAGAGATTTGTTTACTTTGATTTATATAAATTGCTATAGTATACTAAGTATATTTTGAAAACATGATTGACATTAAATTTAGGGGCGCGGGTACGGTTTTATCAGTATTTTTGTACTTACGTTCAGGCGCATCTTGCGGAATGTCAGCCATCTTGAAACACTGAACAACCGTTTGTATTTTTATTCTACTGGAGAGCTCTTCTCTGTGACGTTACGTCCCTTTGCATCCTGGGAAAAGAAAAGCCGCTCCAAGCAACCAAAGTATTGCGGCTAAATTATTTTCACCAAATTAATAATTAAAAAAAGAGTTTGTCGAAGTTCATTTTGGGTAATATAATATAACCACAATAACAAGTGAAATGGCAATGCAGTTAGCGAAGGTTCATTCATATCATGAATGGTTAGAAAAACTTAACTCGAGGAGAGGTAGACTATTTTATTACTTATACTTATACAATAACTTTTTTGTATGTTTAACTTGTAGAAAATAGAAAAGGTGGATTTATCGACTCCAATTATGGTTAGGTAGATCTTAACCTATTATCGTAATTATAGTCCCATGGACCCATGCTTGTCGATCTTATTTTGTGATTTTTTTCTATGTTCCTAGTCATATGAGGCTCCTCTTTTAAAGCACTGTTAAATACTCTATTTATTTGTTTCATATTATTAATTATATTGGTTATTGCGGGGATTGTGTGATAAACATAGATTTCAATCCGATATATATAAAGGTGGGAAACACATGCCATCGGTTGCTTTTGATACTCACGCTGCAAGATATCCGAATGTTACAACCCCAGGGACAATTAATGGTTCAATGCGCACTATAAAAGCGAAACTATGGACTTCAGATTGAAGCTTATAATATGATTCCTCTTTGTAATTTTAAGCATGCAACAATTACATCTCGTTGAATGCGAACGTTAAGTAAACCCAGTCCTAACAATCTGCTCTCTTCACTTACACTCAAACAATTAAAACAATTAAAGTCTTATATTTTGGTCCGAAATGATCCATTTATTCGTCATAATCATTAATAGAAATGCATAGAAATGAAGCAAGAAAAGAGTGAGAGCAAACGCAGTATTTAAATATAAAGGTCAAGTTCATTTGATCGGGTATTTCAATTCGTACACCTAATGGTCAACAAAATAGTTAAAGAATCGATCATAAATACCTTTTGTATGTATCTTTTATGATAAACATAATGACTGAAGGTCTATACAGTGTCAAATTACAAAAGGGGTTCACTCAGTAGAAACGAGCCTGTTATGAGACGGCTATGCCTGACTAAATTACAGAAATCTATAAGCAAATCAGAATTATTTTCATTTGTTAACATTATTGATAATATCGTAAAGTATTGCCATGCGCCTCATGTTAAATCAATATTAGGTAATAACGTTTTCGTTTAGCGGTACGTTGCCCTGGTGTTTCTAAGCATAGTGCGCATGCAAACACGAGTCGGGCCAGGAAACGTTAAACACAACTGGAGTATATATTCTGATTGTCTAACTATGGAAATCATTGCTTAATTATAAGTAGTCAGGTGGACTTCAGTGGTGCTTTTATAGTCTGATAACTTTTAGTTCCTATTCCGAGTTCAGGTAAGGTGGTATTAACATTCATTGACCAATTGTTAAAGAAACAACATACCTTTAATAAGAAAACCACATGTGGCATTTTATTGCAGTTTAATTTGTTCTTGTGTTATCGTTTCTTCTTGGTTATTTATTGTTGGGCGGCCGAATGGTCTAACGCGTGCTTTTTGGATCATAGGGTCTTTGATTGAGAGGTTCGATTCCCAGCGTGTACGTGGCAAGGAGTAGGGTCACCAGCCCAACCGTGTGGATTTTCTCCGGGTCTTCTGCCCCTCCCCCCACTGTTAAATACATCGGGTTTATGATATAAAATTGAACCATAAAATAATATTATTTTGGAGATGACCTGGTTTTTGTCGAGTTGACGTTAAAGTAGCTAAGTCTCTTAACTGATTAGATCATCCAAAGTCTAATACATTGAAAACACGAATTATTTGTCAGTTCAAATCAACATTGGTGGTGTAATCTAACCAGGAAAAGATGGGCGTCTAATATCCAATCTTTTAGACAAAATAACCATTTTACCATTGGTACACGAATAGTGTACCATAATGCGTTTTAGCGTGATTTGTAACAGGGGACTTGAAGAACGAGGCTACACATAATCCACGAGTCAAGTCAATCGGTGACGCCATTTTCTTATCTGGAAAGCATACGCAATAAATACTATCGGTGTAGACTGGAATAACCGGACGCTAGAGATTGCCACTCGATTGAGACTTCTTGCGTATTTTACCGAACATAATTGATTTGAAATTACAGTAAAAACGGAAACGATTGAATGTAAATCAGTTTATATACATTCGCATTACATTATTATATGCTTTGCAACCGATTTGTGTCAATTTCTAGGAACCAAATATTAGCGATTTAGCTCCTTTAAACCCCATTTCTTAATGTTGTTTCGTTAAACATAATTTATTTTTGATGATTGATCAAACTTCAATCAAGGACTTGTACTCGCAGTGAATTCTTAAATTATATATTAAGAGAGTTTATGACCCATCATAATCTTTAGTCAAGGATTGAATTCAAGCAATTAATAGTCCGATTAAGTCGTTGTTTATACCGGGACATAATAAAGATTACAATATAACCAGTAGATAACACCAGGTTAAGACTACAGGTATTTGTTGGCAACGTATGTGCTTATAGTTACCGTGTTGTAAATTATTGATAAATTGCACGATTTATTAATAACCGCGTTATACAGTGTATTACACTAATTCAATAATCTGTTTACTGTACAGCATATCGGCATGTAACCCGACATGTAATTACGGTATTGGGTTATAAGTGGAATAAATCTTTAATATCTCTTGAATCTTGAATATAAAAGTTCTGTAATTTTGTGATTTTTTCAGATAATATCTGCCTTGACCCTTTTAGCAACATGGAGTATATGGGCCATACACAAACTGCCACCTACATGACTGGTCCTCGTCAGCTAACTCAGACAGCCTTACCATCCATCATGCAGTCATCTTACAAACCATTTGATACCTATCCAGCACCTTCTCCACTTAGACGATCCCTCACCACCCTACCCTGGAGGCCAAGTACCTACTATCAAACAGCACAAACCAACCCCACCACAGCAATCTCCAAAAGTATGAACGAACCTCTGTCCACTCGAAACCAACTTTCCCAACTAGATGGCATCAAAGTTCCTCCAGTGTTCGCTGCTTCCAGAAATGCCCTTTACACCCGATATACACCAAACGATTGGTCCAGTTCTAACCAAACCAATTATATGTCATCTGATAGAGTCCGAGGTGGTGCTGAACGTATCCGTTTGGACACAATTCGTCTGTGCCGAGAAACCGATGACAAGACCAGAAGAACCCAAACCGATGTTGGTAAGAAGCTTGGGGAGAGAATTGGTGATATTTCTTTCTGGAAGACAGAACTTAATCATGAAACAGATAACATGATTGCTGAAACCAATGCCTTGAACGAAGCTAAGCGAGTTTTGGAGAAAGCTCTAGCGGAAACCGAAAACCCATTACACATTGCCCAAGAGTGCCTTTACCACCGGGAAAAGAGACAAGCTATTGATCTAGTCCATGATAACCCAGAGAAGGAACTGATTAAGGTAAACTTATTATCTATTATCAGCAAGACGATCGATCACAGTCGATATCTATTGACTATACACTTAATTTAGATTCGTAATTACAAGCCACGAAACCTGAAATCGTGTAAAGTAAACATTTGGCACGCCATTATATCATAGCATGAGAGATGACTTCGGCATTATAGTCTGGCCCCGAGTTCACAAAGCATTCTCAGACTAAAGTTAAGAAAACTATATTTTGAATATTCGATTAATTTTATTTACAGGAAGTCGACATTATCAAGAGATGCCAAAATAAAATGCGAGACGTTGTTGATAAATCCAATGTACAACTAGGGTGAGTTGCTTTATTATTTTTTAAAACTGATAATATAATATAAATGTATATATATAAAGCTAAAAATGCCCCACACTAACACTAACTACAAAATCCAAGATTACAGTAAACCTAATTTAGCAAATATAGTGATTATTATTCCCATATATCCTGCTGTTTAGTTCATTTACATATATTCTTAGCAACAAATCGCATGCACGTATTATATGGAAGAAAATAGTAAAACAAGATGTTATTGTTTTACAGATTAAACCGAGCAGCCCAACACGAATTGGAGAAGGATTCCGGTGACAAGTTCACTGCACAGAATTTAGATGAAACTTGTCATGGCATGAGAAATGCTTCTCGTGGTTTAGCTTTCCATAATGGTGTACACAGAATTGATAACACGTAAGATTTCAGACTTTTTCTTAAACATTTAACTTCCCAGGTTGTCAAGTAAGACTTAGTTATCTAATCAATTTGCCGAAGTTAAACAAGCGTTTATAAATTTTTTATAAAAAATTAACCATTTTTAACTATATTTTCATTACGTTCTGTAACCACTTTTTGATAACGATAACAAAATTTGTATTGTTCTTTACAGTGTTTCAGTTCCAGAATCCTGGGCCAAGTTCACCAACGATAATATTCAGAGATCACAAAGTGAAAGAGCCGCCTCTAAGCATATGCGAAATGAGATCGAAAGTGTTCTTAACGCATGCACGAACGAAATGTGGCAAGAATGGAATGCCGTCAATGTTGCCTTGAATGGTAGAATGCAAGATACAACAGATGCTAGAAACAAACTCCAAACCCATCTGTCCAAGGTATTACCACATCAATTAGATCTTTCAGTTTTACGGAAAACTTACCATTGACTATATTATAACATGTATAGGGAGGGCCCTTGGATTTTTACAAATATAAGCGTAAGCAAACGAAATTAGTGGGGTTTGATGGCCGAATTTTCGATTCCCTTGTTGCACGTGACAAGGAGTAGGGTAGCCTGTCCAACCTTGTGGGTTTTCTCCGGGTCCTCCGGTTTCCTCCCACTGCTAAAGACCCCTACGCGCAAGCGAATTATTGAAATAAAATTGAACCATGCATTAGTCCCGAAATGACCTAGTTTGTGTCAAGTGGACGTTAAATCCCATTTTCTCTCTCTCTCTCTCTCTCTCTCTCTCTCTCTCTCTCACAACCGAAATTGATTGCAAGCAGCGTAAAGTTTAATCATAGTTCCCTAGTATCAAAAGAGCCGTATTGGGGTCATGTAACCTATTTCAAAGCTTTCTTATGAATCATCGGACCTGTACCGAAGGTTATGAAAATATTTTTCTAATATGTTTGCTTACCTATAGGTTCTACAAGAAATCTTTGATATGGAGAAGAATATCGAACTCCTCAAGAAGGCTATCCAAGATAAAGTATCTCCGATGCAGGTTGCTCAGACTCGCCTTGATACAAGAATCCGTCGACCTAATGTTGAATCGTGCAGAGATCCCGTACAACACAGGTAAACTTCTATAAATAAGTCAGAAAAAGTTGTAGGTAGATCCAATCCAACAATTGGCTGTCGACCGATTAATATGCTAAGTCGTCATCTATAGATAACCGAGGATTATTGAACTATTTAATGATTAATTCCAATTCGAATGAACTGTAAAAATAGTGTGTTTTGATCATTATTACCTAATGTATCAGTTTTAAACAATGTTTTAAATTTCTATTTTCAGACTGGTATCTGAGGTATCTGAAATCAGTGAAACTGTTGATTACCTACAAGCTCAACTCAGACAATCTGAGAACACACTACAAGAACTTCTTCGTACCAAATCAACTCTGGAACAAGATCTGTCCGTCAAGAACAACAGTTTGTTCATCGACCGCGAGAGGTGTCTAGGTATGCGTAAGACCTTCCCCATGTCCCCTCGTGTAGTATCTTTCTAAAATATTCTAACCGAGCTATGATATTTATCATTATTCATTCCCGGTTTTCGGATATTTTTCATTCGATTCGTTTTTTCGAGGAGCTTTTTCTGTGACCAAAAAGTATATCCAAGCTGTGATTGTATTATAGCCAGTATTTTCTGAAACAGTATTATTGTAAATATTAAAAAACGGTTGTATCTCATTGCAAGATTTAGATCTGCTCTCTGCCCGGTTTATTATTACATACTAAATGGAATATGTAGTTCTGATTTTAACAATACAATTATCAAGAGAAAAGCAAATAAATTAACAATACATGTAGTATAATCAGATAAAATCAACAGAATGAATTGAAAATATTATGTTCAGATGAAAAGCAACAGAATAATTCTTATAACTATGAATAACAATTTTTTACATCAGTTGAATTATTTATGGTTTTTTTATTATTATTATTATTATTATTATTATTAAAGTTAAAATTTCGTATTATCTTTAGTTCTAATCTTAACTGAACAAAGAATAGTATGATCAGATAAAATCAACATAATTTTTAACACAATTATGAATAACAAATGAAAAGCAAAATAACAATAATGAAAGGCGATAGAATGATTCTTTTAATTAAAAATAACAACAAATTTTACATCATTGTATAATGCATATAAAATTATTAGATGTTTTATTATGAAAGTTAAAATTTCATATTGTTTTTTAGTTCTGATAGCATTATCAAGAGAAACGAATCAATAATAGTATGATCAGATAAAATCAACAATTATGAATAACAAATTGAAAATATTATTTTCAGATGAAAAGCAATATAATATTTCTTTTAATTATGAATAACAAATTAACAATAATACATTCGAATGAAAGGCAATAGAATAATTCTTTTAATTATGAATAACAAATTTTACATCAATTGTATTATGCATATACAATTATTATGAGATTTATTATTTATTAAAGTTAAAATTTCATATTGATTTTAGTTTGGATTTTAACAATAGCATTACCAGTAGTATGATACGATAAAATCAACTCAATAATGAACAACAAATTGAAAAAATTATTTTCATATGAAAAGCAATAGAATAATTCTTTTAATTATGAATGACAAATTAACAATAATATATTTGAATGAAGGCCATAGAATAATGCTTTAAATTATGAATAATGAATATTACATCATTTTATTGTTTTATGCATAAACTTATTGGACGTTTTATTATTAAAGTTAAAATTTCTCACTGTTTTACTAGAATGTTGCTTTCCATTTTTTTTTACTCTGTCTGTCATCAAGTTTGTATATATTATAGTTACCTAGCGTATTATTCATTTATTATTGATTGTTATGATTTGTGTGTTAGTTTATTTGTTAGCATTTATTCAAATTATGATTTATCCATAATCAAATTTCGTCAATGGCTGTGATATGAAAAAAGAAACCAATTTAAACCGAATATATATATATATACATATAGGTTATAAAAGATGTTTTATATTTAATGTATGAAGTGATGTAACATAAAATATGGTCTATTTATTATAAGTCTCTGCTTTTTAGTGTTAATTATTTATAATTTTGCCCTTCTTCATTAGCCCGATTGGAGCAGAACAGTAGGACGTTAAACCCCATTTCATTCCATTTATGTATATTATATAATAAAAAATGAAATGAAATGGGGTTTATAACGTCCTACTGTTCTGCTCTGACTGAGCTAATGAAAACGGACATACGCCATACAGTCACATTGTGCTATCAGGGAAATGTTGCCAGGACAGCAGAGCTACAACCTACTCTTATATCGAATTCCAACTGCCAATCGATCTTTTACGTGCACATCAATGTGTACACGGGACTTCGGCTTTTCGTCCCATCCGAAAGACTATGCGTTGTCTCTTGCCAGGCCCTCTGTCCTGCATGCACCACTGACAAGGGGTAACCACGCCGGAAAATCCCGATGAACTTTCTCGGCCAACACAGGGATCGAACAAAGGACCCCCAGTTTAGCGAGCCAACGTCTTACTCACTGAGCCACCCTGACCCCCATAATAATATGCGCAATAAAATCGCGGTTGAGAGATACACTTTAATTTTGAAATTCTGAATGTAACACCAGGCACCGGTTTCACAAAGCATTCTCAGACTTTTTACTCAACTTTCAATCACTGTTTATGAGAAATATCTTTGTACATAGTTTTTTTATTGGTGTATTTGATACACTAAAACCACAAAAGCTTTAGAAAGGGCTATATGTTAATTAAAATAAGGTGAACAATTTTGAGTAAATTCTCAAGTCTGAGAATGCTTTGTGAACTCGGGGTCAGATCGTGACGATAGCACGTGAAAATGTTTTCATGATCGGGTAAAGGTGCCACAGATAAATTCTCTCAAATATGACAATGTTGAATATCGCAGACATAATGTTTAGAATCGCTATTTCATGGTGGATTCCATAATCGGGCTATTAAAGGCTAGGGTCAGAACAACACCTACAGTTCTGTAGAGGACCAAACGATATGCGAAGGTTGACACCTGAACATGAACAACGAGCCATTGATTGTGTTAATCCAACTTCCAAGAGAACACGAGTAGAGCCATTGGAAGCTACATTGCAATTACAGGAGAAGGATCCCACTATATGGATTTCGCAATAAACCATTCCATCTGGCGACATTGCGGCCCGCGTGGCTGTTAGAGGTGGATACACACTAGAATTACTGGCTTTTGCTTTTTACCCCTTGTGCTTGTGATGAAAACACAAATCCTATTTCGTTTCGTTTTTCATTGTTCAAAATTTCGTTTTACTTGTCTTAACTACACTAGGATCTGGAAGAGTTATATAACTCGCGTTGTGGTTGATGTGCGGGCTTAGCCAATAAAACGGTAAGTTGCGGCGAGTTCTTGGCGTGTGGTGCACGGAAGTGAGGGTATCCCACTTGAAACATCAATGCTGGTTGGTTAATCAAATGTCTGATGTCATCTTGTCAAAAGCCGCTCGTATGACCCCTGACGCGACCTCCCAATACCACCGGTTAGTTCTTCATGTCGTGGGGGCCATCGAAGTTATAAAGAAACGAAA